TAGCTTAGAAGACGAATATAGCGTTCAATCCGCAAGACTTATCATAATAAGAATATTCATATACTATTAGTTCATATGTAACTCCGTATAGTTACTATTCATTTATTCTCGTTCGGACATAACATAAAGCTTACACCATTCATTCATAGAATATTGAGAATATAAAACAGATAATTTCAAAGGTTGTTTTTCTTTTAAGCATTAATAACTCATTTTCCTACTTATTAATAGAAATCTATACTTTCTTTATATAAATGAGAAACTGTCAAAAGAAAATAAATCAAACAAAACAAGCTTATTATTGTTGTTAAAATTTAAAGAAACCGAAGGAAGAAAAGAAAGGCAGAAACTTCCGGTAGATGTTTTTCAAAGTAAAAGTTGAGTTTTTACATCATTATGATTATAGCAATACACTTTCAACCAATATAAATATAATGAATAGATAAACATATAATTATTATAATGGTTATTTTCAGCATTAAATTAAAAAGGGGCTGAATAGGTCGATGAAAAACAAAGGGGTGATGCATGAGATTGAATTAATTAAAATACATGATTGTTTTGCTTTGTGTTAACCTATATAAAGTCTGAAATGAGCACTGCTAAACAAGAGTCACCAGATTAAGACTGATGATTGAATAGTAATTAATGTTATATTTGTGTAACCCTTTAAGTACTTATTGAATTAAATTGATCGAGTTGAAATATATATTCACTAATCTAAGTGAAACTGAACAACATGAAATCAAGTTCTTCAGATACCAATAGTTACCCCATAGTTACAAATATATCTTACTGAAAAGTCCCAAATTGCATAAAATAGGTTGAGTAGGGTTTTTTATAGACTATTTCCATCCATCTGACAAGTATCAAATGCTGCAAAATATAATAAAGTTATAAGTTTAAGAGAAAAATGAGGATAATATGGAAGGGGAAATTAAAGTAACCTTTCTAGCTACTAACTTGATACATTTTCTAAGTTTTAATTATACATTAATTATTAAGAGAGTGATAGAGACATAGAAAGAACATTAGGTTAGTGTATCTAGATCGGACTTAAAGAAGTCTGTTTTTAAAAATATGTAGGTTTTCCTCATTTCATATTGAATAAATTATAATCTTTAGAGGTACAAACTACATCGATAATGCAAAATAACTTAAACACACTTTATCGTCAATTCCTTTCATAAAAATAAGAAAACTAAAAGAAACAATCTTTTGAAATGTTTTGTGACTAATTTGAGTTCGTATAAGAAACTAGTTGTAAGGGTAATATTTCATATAATTTTTTTGAACGCCTCAGTAGTGAACAACTATGATTTTATAAATGATTGAATCCGAAAACATTAGACAATAACTTCCGACCATTGAGATAGTAATCAAGATCTTTTTAACTTTAGTAAGAGATTGATATTAAATCCAAATGGTTTTCGACGGTCCTCTAGTTGCTATTGCAACGCGAGTAAATCATCTTTGAAATCAAGTCGACCTCTGCAAAAAAACCAAGGTAAGTCAATTTATTAATAAATAAAATATGATCAGAAGGGGTTTGTGGAGATTTTAGAAATTTTCACAGATTGAAATCATGAGTCAGTTAAAGCTAGACCACCATGGAAAACCTGGAAGCACTGGACGACCGTTTCGCCCTGTTGTGGGACTCCTCAGCTGTGCGTACCCACGATTCCGCGCCCCGCGAGATTCGAACCCAGGACCTACCAGTCTCGCGCCAGGTGCTTAACCAACTAGACCAATGAGCCGGCATCCAATGGTGTTAATGTCTAACCTCAACCAATCCAAGAAATTGCGCAACATCTTCCATTGTACTGAGGTAGATATCTATCTCTACCCGACACAGATTAGTTCCACTGGTCACGGCTTCTCACCAGAACTCCGAGAATTTTCTCACGAAGCTAGTCACTAGTGGAATATATTACTGATGTTACCAATAAATCTGAGATAATGCTAATTTTTTTAAAAAAAAATGAATAAATTCAGGCTGAAAGGTTTTGTTCAAGGATAGAAAAAGTTAGTGTTTAAATAAAACAAGTACATGAAAAGATGTAATTTTAATTTCCCTGGCCATTAGAAAGAAATAAGTTAGGAAAAAATTAAATTCTGTTTGCTATAAAGCTAGACAGAATTAAGAATAGTTTATGTGATTACAAATTAATACCTAATGAGAATTTCGGGAGTTGAGGGTATCAACTAATTAATAAATAATTACCATAGTCTACCAAAAACTTGTTTTTGTTTCAGAGTTTAATTTTAACATGGTTATTGAATAAAGAGGAACAGCGTTGTTGTAAAACTCAAACTTGATAGTCAACCATATCTATATAACTTGTTACTCCGAATAATCTCAGGTAGATTGAATTCCTTGTTCAACTGTAAAATAAATTCAGTAACTCAAGTTATTTCACAAGAAACGTTTGTAGCATAATATTTAAAACGTCTTCAGTTTGGCTAATAGTTCTAAGATGAATAACCGGCACAAGGTTCAAAATTTCAACTAACTTACCCTAAGATTTGCGCATTCAGTGGCTTTAATTCTATCAAGATACTTCTGATAGACTCTGTATGGTGATATATCAACGTCATATAATATCTCGGGGCAAAGTGATATGTAGTTCACTTGAAGACCATTAATATTGATGAAGCATTCATAGATCGAAGTTGAAGTTCACATTACTAGCAAGCAGTTTAATAAAATGTTTATTACTATAACCAGAAAAGGAATCATCGAGGTAAATATATTAGGTGATAAAAATCCCACTGGAGATAGAGTCCAGGACCTACAGGTTACGCGGCAAGCATTAAACCTTCAAACCATTAGGTTATCATCCATTATCTTAAAAATGCCCTTACACTAAACAAGTTAATTGTTCACCTTTATTTACATATAGCAAATTATTTAACTGATAAAATTTACGGCAAATGACTAGTATAAGATTGTGCTTTATATTACTGCCTTTCAGTTTTAATCATCTTAAATAATGATGATGGATCATATCATAGTATATTCAAAGGTCAATATAATCCTTCTTAATTAGAACATTTTATTAGAATAATTAAAATTCGTGATTAAAAAAATATCCAGTACCATCTGTAAAGCAAGTAAACTGACATTTGTCCAAAAATTTATATACCTTCTTTGTCACTTCCCTACATATATAGCTAGAAACTAATTAGGTTATATCATGAAGAATTCATCTGCATGTTCTATACACAAACGGATATTTGTAAAAACAGCAAATTTGTTTAAACAGGTTGTAGTGTCGGTTACTATGCTAAGCCCACATAACTTATTCTAGCTTCCGAACAGGCTGATCTATCCATTCTTCACATTTTGACCTTGTCAACCATTCGCTTATTAATCTTGAATTTTTATGTAAGAATATGCGTATGTATTTCCTATCTTACTCATGACATGTCTGTAACTCATTTTGATGTGACTATAAATATTGATTCATGCTGCGTTAAATTGAGTTGGCTGACTCGAATTCTTCATTGCGCGTCATTTCGCTTCGCTCTCTTCTCTTCACTCCATTTCTCTGTCTGTTCAGATCAATGAGTGCATAAAATATACGTATTCGAAAATCCCTTCTCGTATTTAACTTATTTAATTCCGTTAATCACCAACGCAATTTAAGTCGATGATTATATACAAGGATTAGCGACATGTATATTTCGATAACAATCATTTTTCCGAACTAACTGGAGTCAAATATTCTAGGGCCACAAAAAACTTACTATAGCTTATTTATCAGGTATAGAGTTGCGTATTTGGTTTCGAGAAAGACTCTAATTGTGAGACCTAGTGATGATATTCATTTTTTAAACGGAAGTATTTGGAGCAAAGTTCGTACCGAAGATTTGGTGGCTAGAAATAAAACGTCTTAACTACTGAGCTATCGCTCCACCAGTTCATGAAGAAAACCATGTACATTTTATTTTATAATCATTGGATAACTTTTTATGAAATTCCTGATTGAGAGATAAAAATCAATTTTATTTTACAAAATTGCTACCTACACAGATTATCCGTATATTAGTTTTACAAGTTTCCTGATGATGTACAATCGGGTTTGAGAGAGTTACAAGAGCGAAACATATTTTCTTGTCATGTAACAACTAAATAACGAAAACAGTCTAGTCATATAAAATAACTCTAATGTAAAATAATCATGATTGAGATATTTATTAGTGATTTCCTGTTGATAAGACATAATCATCCAATACTACAAGTTGTTTAACATTGTGATATGAAATTAGTGTATTAAAGTTATCTGAATGAGGTGATAACCTTTGTCGCTAGTACTATGAAGAATAATTTATGAGAACGCGTAATAATAAACCTTATGAAGTCAATGTATTTGAATTAGCTAATAATTAACATTGTTCACAAACATATCAATAAACTTATTTGAGTCTTCAGTATTGAACTATATCGTTGAGAGTCCAATTCAATTTTATGAAGAAAGGCAATTTAGAAGTTTTCGACTCATGCCATCCATGAATTGTCATAGACTTCATGTTTAGATGAAAAATTCATTTGAGAATTTTTAAAGCTACGATAAGAGTGACAACAGGCATTTATTTATTGATGAAGATTGTGGTTGTCAATTAGTTAGTTTTCAAGGTTAATACTCGTATGAATACCTGTATGCAAATGACATATCACACAAAGAAACGTCCAATCTTCTTAACATAGAGTTATGTTACAAGCATCATGGTAAACTTAATAAAATTAGCTATCAGTAGTTAGATAGCAAAATACATTGAAGTGAATTGTGTTATTCAATTAACTACAGTAAAAATCAAAAGAATGATAAAGATTTAATGTATTGTGTAGATCACTTGAATTTACGGAAGGTACTTAAAACATTCTTAGACGATATATAAAGAACCGGAACAAAACAAAACTTTGAGTAATAGCCTAACAGTAGATGATTCTCTTTTCTTTCAAATTACCTCAAAGATGAAAGTAAAACAGCATAGAATAATTGTCTATGCAAATAATTTATTGAATTCATTAAAGCCATATATAAAACATAAATGAGTAACAAATAATACATAAAATTAATGATTTACAATAACTCAATTTGACACAATAATCTTTATAAACCACAAAAATATCATACTACATCAAACAAGAAAGTTGATATTCAAGTTTTTCCATTTTTCTTTCTATTACTTCAATCTACAAAAGAATATTCAAGAAAACAAGAAAAATGAAAAACAGAATACAAAAACAAATCAGATTGATTAATTAAACTATTAATTCAATACGATAATCCATATGTGCAACTTCAAATCATATACAAACATTAAAATATAAGTATCTCGTTGAATTGACCAGCTGAGGAAGAAATTAGGAAGAAGCATTGGAAGTGACATGGCTCAGAATCGGTCACAATGGCGTTGGTGTATACACTCTATATCTTCCCTTAAACTAAGCGATTAAAATTGCTTCATATCTTTCTTTCTACGAACTAATTCTTTCTTCCTGTATTATATCCTTATTGCAATCTTTCTTTTATATATTACCACCTCTGAATTAACTACTTTTATGAATCCGGTGTCCATCTTGTTGTGTTAATGAGGTATGGCAACTTGGACCGATGCATAAATGTGCCTGATCCTACGTTGTAGCTGACTGACTGACTGATCCTCAAGGCCAAAGGTAAAGAGGAAGACCAAAGAACACATTACGCCGGGAAATGGAGATAGACATGAGAAAAATGAACAAGAATTGGATGGAAATAGAAAAGAAGGCCCAGGACAGAGTGGGTTGGAGAATGCTGGTCTGCGGCCTATGCTCCATTAGGAGTAACAGGCGTAAGTAAGTAAGTAAGTAAGTTGAATTAACCAATATCTGAAACTAAAACTGATTAGGTAACGCAGAGAAACAATAACATAAAAATAGAAAGCTGAACACTAATTATTTTGTTCTAAAAACCGCTAGATTGAATTCGTTGATAAATTAAGTAATACAATATGATATATATATAAGCCGCCGTAAATGTTTAATTTCATAAATCATATAAAAGTGACCTTAGATACATCAATAACATACAAGTTAGTGAATTTAAATTATTTGTACTTTGGAATGAATGCAATTTTTGATGATTTTATTGTAGAGTTCTTTTTAATGAGATGTAGTTTCTGACCTTACGCAATACTTTCTCTTTCATTATACACTTAAGATCGGTAGTAGATATCAGGAGAGGCTTTTGGCGGAGGTTTATGCTTTATCTTATTTCCGAACTAAAATTTAAGTGACAGATATAATGTCCTGTTTAACAGAGAAATAATTTTCGGTAAACAATAAAATAAAAATTAATGATGAAACACTTCACTAGTTTATTATAAACTATAAAAAAATGATACTATTGAAAAGAAGGTTCACTTCGCTGGACTATCATTATTTTGTTCAACGACTTAATATGTTTCTTTCGTTGTCTTTCTTTGATAATACGGGACAAAGTGACTCATATCAATGAAGGAATTATTTATACTACATCATATTTTTTATATTGTTCGTCACTTAGATCGAACTTGTAGCTTAACAGTTAAGGCGTAAATCATTCTATAGGCTAGTGTTCTAGATAATAATTATGCAGTTTATGTTGACATGTCACAGGATCAAATGAAATATCTGATTCCATGAGTCAGAATAATTGTTCAGCTGTTCAGTAAAACAAACTTCAAAGAAAATTTTTCAAAATAATATTCACAACATCAGTAACTTTAAAACGAATTAAAAATTCGTGTAAAAATTATTTTGATTCTATTATTTCAATGCGCTCATCAAACAATGACTTAATTTAAACCAAATAAGGTTAATTAGAGGAATCTATTGACATCTTAATATAGGGATAGATCCTAATTAGTATCTTCCCGGAAGTAACAGACAACGTTAAATTATTGAACCTTACAAAATTAGATGTAATGAAAAAAGGTCATAGAGCTACTTAACTGTTTTAAAATATTTATTTTTTAAGGCTCATTTTATTGGTTTAAATGATCATTTGAGCGTTTTATACAACCCTATATATATTACTACAAAGGAAGTGACTGGCTTTCGTTCTGCAGAAATAGAAAAGCATCATGATGAAATGGATAAATAATGAGTGAAAACATAAGAACACTGACGAATCTTCATTACCTTAGATTGATTTTTTTCATGTGCATTCTCTTTGCCTTTTTTCATTTTCTCTATTTTTATCAGCTCCTCTTTACGCTTACATAATTTATCAATACGAAGTTGTAATTGATTTCTAGCCCAATTAAGATCATATTCCTGTATAATGAAATTAAATTAAAACATAAATTATTAATAAAAGTATACGATGAAATGTTAATTCATAGAAATACTTTTAACAGGAATGTAATATTGTAGCTCATTGAATCACGTCTATTTTTAATTTCAAACACATGAGTGATGAAGTCACATCGTTTTTTGTGCTAAAGATTGGACAGCCAAGTCGTGTATTCGGAGTACATATATACGAACTTTTGCGAGTTTGGTGTGTTGAATCACGCGCCTTGAAATGTAATATTTACAGGTATAATAAAGCTATAAACAAAACAACTGGATGACTACGGAAATATGTGTTTACAAACAATTATTTTCCTTCAAATAATCCGAGTTTCTCCACATATGACGTCAACAGGACAAGCTGTGAGTCATATGTGGAGAAATTCGAACACTTCACTTCGACCTGAAGTTTGTGCAGATGATGTTGTTCAGAAGAACGATGAAAGCTCCACAACTGAACCATTTAGCTCAGAGTGCGAAACTCAACCTAAAACGATGAGGCGGAAATATGGTTATTGTTGTCTCTTCAAAAACGAAATAATATAGTTTGGAACGGAAAATTAAATCAATCATTTACTTTCTTTAACTGACTAATGATGATATATACTTATTCGATTGTTATAAGTAGCATATCAAAAACTCTCTAAATAAATTCATGGAAAATTTAAGATGAATCAAATATCAACTTACATTCTCATTTATACATAAATGCCAATCAGTTTGATCATTATGAACAGGTATATAAACATAACTATTACTTCTTAGCACATCTGACTTCAAGTTAATAGATGTAAGCGCTTTCAAAACAGCAGATTCATCTTCTGAAACATTTGAATCACTAGAGTTTTTTATCAAGTAAATACCATCAGATTCAATTTTCTTTAATTTCGTGGGATTTCCTGATTTATCATGATGAATAGATCGGAGTAAAGTACGCCAAGAATTGACATTCGAAGCTACTGTAGTTAGCTCAGACATGATTTCTTGTACACGATCCAATGAAATATCATAGTTATTCTGATACAAGAATTCAAACTGTAACAACAATAATATTTACAGACTATGTTTTGATAAAAACAAGTAACAAGAAGTAAATGATACAATTATTTTACTGGGTATATAACCAGAAAGTACGATGAAAGAATTTCTGACAGTGGCAAGCCACAAAATCGTATGGAGTAATATGTATTTTAATCAAATACAACCAGGTTTTGCGTGTGTTACCTTTACCTTATTGATTGACCATTTAGGTCATTTATACTAATCGCAATCTATGAGTTGAGAAAGTCAATATGGCTAAACACTGACTACAGTGGTGTATGTGTTCCTCACACTTGTTACCCTATGACATCATTTTTCGCTCACTGAACTATACATTCATAAGTGTTTATTTTACCACTGCAAATGGTATTTTTATTTCAACACCTTTATCAATCATCAGGCCACACTTTTTCAATGTATTGACATTAGACGTAAGATCGATACATGTTGCTGAGATCTAGAATTTTAGGTTTGACACGACAGGTAGATTGGTAAAAATTAAATAACAGATAATGGTTATTTTTTAAGCTGTTTAACAAAACAGAATGTTTGAATGAAGCAATGGAAAATAGAATGACATCACTAATAATTCCAGTACTATATATATATATATATATATATCGATTGGATACATACCCATTTACAATTAGGAAATTGTTGCATCAATAAGCTGTTTTCTGGATTATACAACTCGTCTTTCTGTTCAATATTAATATTTAAACCATGCCAGAGAACTTCAGTTAAATGTGGCATAATTGGATGAAATATATGAATGCCGGTCATTAGACAAAGATATAAGATATGCAAAGAATTGGTGTTGTACGGTGAAGAAACTAGATGAATAAAAGAGAAAACAAATTGTTAAAGATGAGGATAATAACAATGAACCATATGAGAGTAATGTATTATTCTTTATTTTCATCAAAAGAAGAAACTTTGTCTTTTTAATAGATATTACTGATGATGTTATATTTGGCAGGCATATGCATATGTATACGTTCGTCTTCAAACTCGTAACTCTGTTCAATTCAGCGTCTTTTAAAATATGCTAAGTTCAATACGTTAAAGAAAATACTTTTTAAATCATAAAACATCATTATGTTCATAACCCACTCTCTCACTTTGACGACCTGAACAGTTAATGTTTGTGAGTAAGTCGGTCAACGTTTACCTAATTTACAGATATAAATAAAAAGAATGTTGTATTATGGTATCGTTTCTTTTTAAATCGTAAACATATATTACATTGAAATGTATTTGGGTTAGCGGAAACAATGTCAACATGGATTAAATGATATGTTGCTAAGTTACAACGTATAAATTCTCAAAAATATATTTCTTGTTATAATCATTAGAATAGAATAAGGTAAACTTCATCAATTTTACTCTGAAATAATCTTGATAATTATGGACAGAACAACAAAATATCAACTAAAGAGTCAGTCATAAGAAACATAAAACCTAGAACATATGTGGATCAGTTGAGTTTACAACAAAACATTAATATACCGAGATGAGATTATTCGATAAAGGAAGGGATTTTATCCAACATCTCCAACCATTAGATACGATAATGCTGCTTGCTTTAACCAGTCAACCTGCACACATAGCTCATACCAACAACAAATGATTTTATAAACTGAAGATATGTTCTGATTTGGTGACTCCTAGCTCTTTTCAAACTTACTCCTTCTACACTAACTAAATTCACACGACCGCGTTGGCGGTCGTTGAAGCACCTAAGTTAAGTTCTTTCTATTTCGTATGATTTAAACCTAATTTAATAATTTTCTGTAAATTAGACAGAATAAACATTGATTATGGATAGTATATATGTGCTGACTATGATTGACTATGATCCAACTCAAACATTGCAATTCTAATGATAAACAATTAATTAGACATGTTTTTAAGACGTTTGTTTTTATTCAAAATTAATTGACTAAATTTTAAATAGTACAACTAGTCATGAGGGATAATTTCAGTAAAAAAAACACAGACATCATGGATTCCCAATAACAAAAATATCATTACGGGGTGATTCGTCAATATTTTGTTATTAGATTATTATACTGAAATAATCTCTACTTTTTAAACTAGGTCTATACAAGAATAGTGAATGAAATTCTAATGAAATATCATTTGCAATCGGAATCAAACTGAAAATTCTAAACTATCAACTCAATATTCTATCTGGCGAATTAACTGACTAGAATGTTGACGTACTGAAATAAAATTCACATTTATTCTTCTATTATTAAGTTTTGCGATCGGTAGCTTATAAACGAATATAGAGAATTATTTAATTTGTATTGGTTGTTTGAATCTTCCCATTGATGTTTACAACTGGTAGCAATCAATTTCTTTTGGTATATATGCATCTTGTGCGGATTGCATTGATATTGCCATTAGGCCACAAGTCCCATAAACAACGATGGATGGTGGCTAGCAATGGGACCCAGGATCCGCATTTCGTTCAATTTAGGACTCAATAGCTGGATGTACCTACATCTGAGTTGATGTTCACTCTGGGACTCTGACCTAAAGCATTCGCTTCAAACGCTATCACGTTATACAACCAGCTACTGAGTTTCCATTGCATAATTCAGAGGCTATCTGAACTAACTAGATAAGTGGGTAATGCGATGTTGTATGAAGAGAACAGTACTAGGTTCGAGTTGAAGAGTAAACATCGACTCAGATGTATGTAAACTCAGCTGACGAGTCCTGAATAGGACGAAACGTGTCCTACATTCCATTATTAGTCACAATCCATCTTTTTTTACGATAAAGAGAGTTTATTGTCATCAAATGAATTATTCATTCAGATTATTATTAAGCCATTTAAAATTTTGCAAAATAATCACCTTCATTTTTAATTACTTCTAGGTAAATGGAACATAGATCATTCAGCCACCAATTTTGCATCCCTTTGACACCATGATGAAATGACCATTTTAAATTTTCATTATCAAAATCGACTCTAAGCCTGTGATTGCCAGTCTGAATCTTATTTTCACCATGATCAATGTCTTTAGGATCTGTCCATGATAAGTTGATCAAATGAATTAATCGACATAATTTATGTATAATCCATATATCAAACAACCTTAATTGCTGTGACAAAAGAGTAAAGAAAAACAATTCAGAAAAATATATTCCGATTCATTCTAATACGATAAATAAAATCTTTACAAAGAAAAATTGGACTGAAAATTTAAAAAGTACATACTGCTACTTATTGATAACCAAGATATCTCAAATGAGATGAACCAAGTCTACGTCATGGGACCTCATCAGTTACAACCATATTTCAATGATAAAACTAAGACAAGAGTAAAATGGAAAAATAGATACATAATTCCATTTTGATTGTCAACTTAAAGTTATTTATGTCTAACAAACTGCTCAGTGATCTTAACTTTAGCCAAGCACGAAAAAACATCAATTTCACTAATTGTTAACCTTCAACTTCTGTAACTAATCATAAGAAATGATAGACAAAATGACCATGTGAGAACCACTAGAATCTATTCTAATAGATTGCTTTGCATAAGTAACCTTAGATGTGAATTCGAATCGCATGAAAAGCAATAGTTTCTTTAAAATTTTAAATGCATCTTGCTGATAAATATCAATTAGTATAAAATCTAAATGCAAGTTTTCCTGTTGATTACTGTTTCATATCAGATATTATACTCTACTTCCAAATGCATTCAAAAACCGATATACACAGTATTTCTAGAATGAAATAGACAATCAACCAAATTAATAAATGCGTGAATACGTTACTAATTGAGTGATTAGAAAGTTCATTTTATTGTTAGAATGAAAATTTTTTTCAATGAAAGTTTATGCAGATATAATAATTGATCTAATCATCATCATCAACAACGACAACAACAACAAGAAATTGACACCACACACATCACTAATAAGTTTGAATGTAGTAAGTGGTCACCTTAATGAACAGTTTAGGACTAAGATCAGTTTGATATGTGTATTTGGTTATTCAGAATGAAAAATTAGTAAATTTTGTTACATAAAAACATGTTTTCCAATTCAATTGTGATCAAATAAAAAATTATATAGTTTTAATTTTAGAAAAAGAGGGATATTTTGGTAATAATTTTACGTAAAAAGTGATAACTGTTATTAATAAGTTGGCCAAATGTCGATTGCTAGTCTTTTATTATTACACATCAAAATTATTTATAAACGTTTCCACATAGACCAACAATCTTTAATAATAATAATACTCATGACAATAGCTAACCTTTTCTTTACATAATCCTCCCACAAAATCTATCCACTGGGTACCAAGTGATTTGTGATGTATGCTTGAAACTGATTGAAATACATTTTGCTTCTTAAGTTGAATCGAAACAAAACGAGCTGTTTGCCACATCTATAGAAAAAAAAACTATTGTATATTGAAGCTCTGAGTTTATCGCTACAATGAAGCAATACTTCGTACTAAAATATTTTGATAACTACATCTAAGTTTTCAAAAATGTCATAAACTCAATAGTTAGGGATCAGTTCTTTATAGTTTAGTGAAATAGAATCAGAATTCATGACAGACATTTTCATAAGTTTTAATTTTTACAAAATCACAAATTTTCGAAGATAATTCGCAAAAATTCACATAACTGATCTATACATTCATAATAAGATGGAATAATCCCCTTAAAATTCATAGTTTATGTTAAAATGATAATTTTAGTGAAAACATAATATCCATGTAAAAGGGTCGAAATCTTTAGAAGTTATTCATTTATAACTCAATAGAAATGTAATACTGTGTTAACTATCAATGAAATTTCGAACACATTAATTCCTTCATTTCAAACTAATCAACATGATTTATTGATATCGCAGTTACAAACTTATGCAGAATATAAATGAGGTGTAGCTGCTCACAGAACGATGGTTACTAAAGTAGTCGGACGTTTAAAAAAGGACAAATATACAAATCAATCATAACGTCCCATATTATACTTGTTTCCCTGAAACTAAGGCGTTATACACATGTAACTATTTTTATAAGTAAGGGTTATGGATTATCATAAGAAGTTGAAACAAAACCAACAAAAGTCATCTCAGTAATTTGTAAGTTTTAATAATAGGCGAAATTGTTTGAACTAAATATATTCTACTCATCATATAAAGATACGGAAATTTGTTGTAAATTACAGCTTTCGAAATACCTAACAATGAATTTTGATATGATATTGGATGATTTTCCTCGTTTTCTGCAGGGATACATTTCAAAAACGAAGATTGTGGTTAGCTATTGAATTTTTGAAGGAGTCGCTATGAAGTGACAGAATATCAGATGTTCTTGTAGATTTATTCAAAACACCGTGAGATTAGATAAGAAACCAATATTATCAGGATTAACACAAACTTTCAGCTATTTCACCTTTACTAGTTAAAACTCAAGGACCATAACTCAATAGCTTAAACTAACCTTAAGACTAATAAGTTATTAGTTTAAATTCTTCTTTCATTTATAAATTACATTGAAACTAACCGCATTGCATCATGCAATACTATCAAGTTTAAAATTATTGAATCAACCGAAATAATTGGAAAACTAAATCATAAAAACTTAGCATTTCATTTTACCTTATTACAAAATTTTCTCATTTCCAATACAACATTCTCATCAAAATTAATATGTGACTGAGATAATTGATGAGTTAATAATGCAGCTCTTAAAGCATCTGCACCTAATACTTGGATCGATGATCCAACAGTTTCCTGAAATAGTAAAAAACGTAATGTGTAAACAGTTTAACAAAAAACACAAAACCATACATTAAATTTTAAAAGAAGAGCAAACTAATTCAATTTACCTTCAATCGAACTTTTTATATTCATAAGATATAAAAGGAGGAATAATTTAAGCAAATTATATCAAACTGATGATGACTTTTATACTAGCTAGGTGTAGGTTAATAGCCAAAAACAACGCATTTATGTACCCGAGTTTGAACAATAAAATATATACATAGAGGATAGTAACACTTCATGACTGAACAGAGATAGATATAACTCGATTACAACCCACAAAAAACGAGTAGCAGGAAATCGATGCATAAATACAAGACAACTTACAGAATTCGAATATAAGGAAAGAGTTACTCTGGGACGAGTAAAAAAAAGACTTGAAGATATGTCTAACCTGATATTATTTACCAATCTCATTTCATCACAATAAAATTGTATGGATTGTGACATGGATTAAAAGATGTAGCAAATGCGTGGAAAAAGGTTAACACTTGAAAGTTCTGAGTTTAATAAGAATTTGTAGCGAGTTCAATTACTCAATAGGAACATTCAGTTAGTTGACAAAAGGTTATAATAAAAATCACCATTATTACACGTTCTGTAACCGATACTGTTTCTGATGAGATGCATTTACATTTTATTTGATATGATCATTACACTGATTTTGAAATATCAGAAAAGGTTTTTCATAGATTAAACACACTGGGTGACTGAGGTATTGTGTTGAATCCTAACAAAATAAATCAAGCCCGTAGCTTTCAAATTCTATATTTAAAACATTTATGTATAATTCATTCATGTACTATCTAGAAGACAATAATATGAAGGTAACATCAGTTAAGTGAATGTTGTGTCATATTTAACTATGATACAACAGGAGAAAAAGTGTAGATACTTCGAAACAATGCTGGACCATACAAAAGAGATTTTCTTCTAAACTTTATTTTAGATAAATAAACATAAAAAGTTATCCAGTAAATTATAAATTACAATTTATACCGGCGTAATGGGTGATGAACATTGAACTATCGCTTAATTAAAAAAATGCAAAATATTTGATGCAATAAAATCAGTTCTTAATAAATAAAACGAATGAAGTAAGAAATAATTTCTAGTCTTTTATTATTAATTATTAGATCAACACAATTTATTCTTTTATTTATATTCTACTTCAAAATGGAAATTTTGTTTATTATAATCAGTGACATATACATGTATACCACCACCTATTTATCGTCCTTTCTTCCTGTACTATGTTGTTATATAAGATCTTTCTTTTATATATTACCATCATTGAATTAACTACTTCTATGAATTCGGTGTTCATCTTGTTGAGTTAATGAGGTATGGCGAATCGGATCAGTGCACAGATGTGCCTGGTCCTACGTTGTAGCTAACTATTTATCGTTAACAACAAAAAGTAATAATGATAATAATATTAATATTTAATACAAAAAAGACCGAATACCCCGAACCACTCCGTGGTGGCGGTGAGGGAGGAGGATTTAACTCAGGTGATTGTTTTAAGGATATAATCAACAGATCTTATCAAATAATAAAATTGTTATGAACAAACATTTTGAAGGAAACAAGTTAATTTTTGTAACTTATAAAATAAATAAAATGTAAGCAATCGAGTGAATACATCCAACAACATTTAGAAATATGAAAAAAATTAATTTCTGAAAAGCAGAGTGAAAATTCCGTAGGAATAATTATTGATGAAGAGTGAAAATGCGAGAAAACGGACAGAAGAAATGACATTCAGGAAGATAAGAAACAAAACAAAAGAATAAAGAATGGGTTTATTACAGTTATTTTAATTATACAATCGTTAATCATAATAACAAAACTAATAATAACAAAGAAATCTTTTCTATCTTTTCAATTTTAGGAAGTAATTGGTTTAAGTATCAGTGTGTTTGATTTTCAACCATAAAGTGTCAGGTTCGAATCTCGCTTCATCTACTTGTGTTTGGGCAACTACGGGGTTTCGTTGTGGTTTACATTTAGAGTGTGATTCATGTCGAATCACTTGGTGATGAGTGAGTTAATCTACAGGTTTATAAAGTCGAAAATAGATAATGGGATTGAAAACATTATATATTAGATCAAAGATCGGTTAATTTATCAATAAAGATAATGAGAAGTTTAGAATGAAACTACTTTGATTGTGACAAAAATTTTTGTTTAAAAGAACAGAATTAAAACGAGGAAAAGAGAGAGAAGAAAAACTAAAACATCAAAGGCGAAATAGAAGATAAAATGTGATAAGGTAGTTTGAGAGTCAGATTCACAAACTATTATGTTCATAGTTTACTCTTCATCGTTGGTCAATACTAACTGTAGAAGCGTTGAAAACTAGGGGACACTTCATGTTCAGTTCGTATTGATCTTCAATATATTAAATTTATTTATAAATACCTTGCCATTGAACTTCCAAGTTAAAATCTAATTGCATATGCCTTTCCAATTCCATGCCATTTGCTATTTGAGATTATTGTAAATCTATACTTCAGTGAAGTTAACAGTTACCTATAGTTACATAACTTTAGATTATATATCCCAAAACACGTCACGCAAATGTACTAGCTACTTATACAGTTAAGAATCTAATAAAACAAGGTTTTGATGATTCTACCATGTTGAGCATAATATAGTAATAATTTACCTTTGGAAGGTTTCCAATCCCATTTATCATTTTCAATGGATTCACTGAATTGTTTTTACTTTTAGACATTTTTTGACCAGTTGAATCACACACCAAACCGTGTAAAATGACCTTGTTTTATTGGAAAGTAATATTGATTAAGTAAATTATTATGGAATGATAATTGTCAGTATAGGGTTGTGGAGATTGTTGAGTTCCATTAAAATAATGAACCGATCAATGTTCAATTGTGTTGGGTGTGAGACAGTTATCCCACGAGGTCGATGGAAGATGGTCACACACGATCGTGGACTGACTGAATTTAGACATTAACACAGTTCGTTGCCGGTTCAGTGGTTTAGAGATTAAGCGTTCACGAACGAGGCCGAATTTCCTGGATTAGATTCCCGGACCCAGAGTCGTGGATACCTGTTGCTAACGAGTCCCATACTAGGACGAAACGACCGTCCAGTACTTCCAGGTTTTCAATGGTGGTCTAACACTGATCGGTGCATGATCTGAATGAAACTCAACAATCTCCACAATTTTGTGCTGTAAAATAATATGATTGTATTATATAGTGAAACATATTAACAGAACTCATCATTTAAGCTAAGTTAGTTCATCAGTGTTTTATCAAATTAATCTGTTCGTCACGACACAAGCTATTCGCAACAAGAATACTAGTAAACTGAAACTGTTATATTAACGATCAACTTTATGACGTCAATAAGTAAGTAACCAATTTGTAACTGACATAAAAGAGTGGAATATTAAAAAACACTATTTAGATGCCAGGTGGTTAGAGGTCAACATTCGAGAGCAAGGCATACCCGGGGTTTTGAAAAAACTAGTGGTCCAAGTAAGGTAAACAGCAGAACCCAGCTGCGAAGTTGGAGACGTTATTACTGAGATATACAAGCTGTGACTAGCATCCTGTAGAACTGAGATATTTACATAATGTTGACGCTGAGCCACTTATAGACAGTTGTCTGTATTATAACTTGATCGATAGAATTTGATCCGCACTAAGAATTGTACAAATACGACATTAATCACTACTATTCAGTGTTTAATAACCATAAAAATACTGTTTATTATCAATAATCTGAATTGATAACAAAGCATGAACCATGTGCACAAATCGATCTACTCTAACTGTTATATCCGAGTGGAGATTAAATTACAGGTAACTTCCGAGGACTATTCATGGACTAATATCCTATAAATATTCTTGTTGTATAACTATTCAACAATTACATTATGTATATTTGTATCCCTCTTATGACAAGCTTTATTTTGGCCTATAATTTATTATTGTACGATTTACGGTTCTTAAGTTATGTTCAGTTTATTAATTACTGCCTCCCACATTCACAGCCACTTCTTGGGCTTATTTGTGTACAAATATTATTTCCTATTTTATGGTACGTTGCGGTCTGTATGATTGATATATAAACCAAGTATGCCTGAAATAAACGATCTGCTCTGATTCGGAAGCTGGTATTTTGTTCTGGACTCAAGTGGAAGGGCTCGTAGGACATAGGACCAATAAGGACGCTAAACAGCCCACACCGGTTGGACGTCATTGGTTGGCCTAGTGTGAAGATTCGTATAAGTCGTATTCGGATTGGTAGATAAATCGTGTGATAGAAAAATCAGACATTCAAGGTCATAACACTAACAATATCATTCAAATTAAATATTAATAAGTAGGTTAATGTTATTCTTTTAAACAAAAACTTTTGTTCCGAGTAATTCACTTCATTTCAACAATATAGAACAACCAGTATAACTTGAGTTTTTTTCTTCTCTAGTTCTTTCAATTCACGTTGTGTAATTTAAATCGTACAATAGGATAATATATTTTACATGAAATTGATTAGCATTTAATGACGATTGATGGATAATGACGATGATAAATATAGAACTTTACACAAACAAAAGAACAGTTTATTCTACATACTCAGCTATTCTAATCAATCGATAAAAATAAATGATGACCAACAATTAAGTAGATCAATTTTGATGTACATACAGTTTTAAATGGGACTTGTCCTGTTAGAAATACACCAAGCATAACCATACGAGCAATCCAAAAAAATAATATATCCTGTCCACTTTCTATTAAACGCAGAGGATAGAAACGTAGTTCTTTAGTCTAAATTCAGAATACACATATATATGTGTCAATACAGATGAAGTAAGTATTGGAAAATGTTTATAACAGTAATAGTGAATTATAATCTAGAAACAAATGTACATGAATTATTAAAGAAGAAATGATAAATAAGCAACAATAACGGAGAATGATTGAGTTTACTTTAAAAGGATATGTGTGGAGATGGAATTTTATCGTTCGAAATTTGTGGCGCGCTTCCTATTACAACAAATAATTTGATATCGATGTAATCAATGCAAAGTTTGTTTTTCTAACCTAAGATTTCTTTGTACGTAAGGTGTATACTTAACTTGGTTTTTCACTTGTAAAGTAGAAAGTGTAGAAACAGAGTCTATAGCTTTATGTCAGCTATATATAAAAAGATTTACTTGACCAAAGATATTAATCATCTCACTTGCTCAAGTGGTTAATTAGGAGATTTTTAACTGATAGTTAATATTAACACAAATAATGAAGACTTGTTTGTGATTCTGAAGTGAAAACCACTATGGATGAACTCAAAGAGCACAACATAATCAGCAGATAATTAAATCTAATCTATAAACAATATGAAAAAAACTGTTATTAATGAAATATATGTTAGTATGATGAAGTACACAGATAATATGAGGTTGTTTAGATCGAATTAGTCAGAGGTTCAAACCTACGATCAAAGTTTTTAGATGCTCACTATCTAACTCTAATATAATGTTGATGAAATATAGATCCTACTTACATCGTATATATTCTGTAGAATAATCTCGCTGGAAATAACGTGGATATAAAATGTTGGATGCGAGTATTTCGGATGTTGATATTTCATACATTTATTTCGGCAGACAAACAAACAAATAAGAAGCGAAGATGGTAAATAAGCCTACTCAAACTATTATTCACTAAAAGAGTTAATATAACTCAAGATAGATAATGCATAGTGAGATGAGGAAACAAGCATTGTATAAAATAATGAATGAATAGACACACGTACAAACATACATGAGACTCGTAAGTGTAGAACTACAAGGACACAAATATAAGCAGTATATTTGTGCTAAACGTCATAATTTCCTAGGTAAAGAATAAAATTATTAGAAAGGAAAAAAATGATTCAGTAGTCATGCTGTCTGATTCTGTTCAAAAGTCAGGATCAGTGTCATGTGGGTAAGTAATAGTAGTCGCAACACATTCATAAAACTAATGCTTCAATTACAAATAGCCATAGTTGAAAATAAATACAGTATTCACTAAATGATTTTTAAACATATTATTACATAATTTATAACTATCACCATATAATAAACTTACATCATTTGGCCAACCAAATACTGAAAATGGTAACAGTGCAGAACTGAACCAAGTATCTAAAACATCTTGATCTGTAATGAACAACAAGTTTAATAACTAAGAAAACATTTTATGATTTATGTACAAATCCTCATTCTGATAAGAAACATATGACAAATGTCATGGGAAAATAAAATAATTTACTACAATAAATTACTGATAAGACATTTAATTTTGATAAACATCTTCGACATTGATATTGATCATGAATACTAGACAATTGAATAACATTTCTTAAAACAAAAAAGAACACCGTTCTATACTGTAAGCAACAGATGATATTATTCATATTATTACCATAAAAGTTCTATTCTATTAAACAAAGACGCTGAATAAATTAATCATAAAATTTCTAAAAAAATAATGAACTTTTCAATATATATATATCACCTGGTATAAGCTGATAATCATTCGACTGAAGTCCAGAATCAGTCAAAATATTTACAGCTTCGTTAATTGAACGAGCTACAATCCATCGATCCGTACTATCACAATCATCATTTGATTTTGAGTTGGACGTAATAACCTTGACGTTAGATATATTAGGGAAAAAAAGAAGAAACGACATTAATATTGATCAGAAACATAATGGAATAGCTTACTGATGTTTGTCTTAGACTTATAATAAGTTTATAATGCCTAGAATAATTGAAGAGATTTGATATCATGCTTTAAGTTCGTGAACCTCTGAAACACAGGCCAACATGAAGAAGAGATTCAATTAAACATGAAATAGTAGAAAAGTACAAGCTAATAACTCACTTTATAAGCTGGAATAGGATGACCCCAATAAAGCTGACGACTTATACACCAATCTTTATGATTTGTTGGTTTTAACCATTCCGACCAAATTAATTTTTGATTTGCTGGAAATAATTCCAACTGATTAGAATGGACAGCCTTGAAGCATAATATGAGATCACAAATAGATGAAATTATTTTTAGAAAATATAAATAAATTCAACAACATAGCTACTTCAATTTTTAAAATATTATGTAATCCGATCAGAATACACTATGAAATCGGAAAGCACAAGAAGAAAAGTTTTAAAAAGTTAGTAGACTAAGAAAATAATCACTAATGATATAAATGTACTCAGTCATAACTACTTACACTACTGTAAAGGTCTTGGTTTGTTTTAAGTCACTCTACTATTCTAATAAGTAAAAAATACTAATGGTGGTCTAGTGGTCTAGCTTCAACTGACTCATGATCTTAACCATTGAAATTACAATAATATCCACAAAACCCACCTGATATATGCAAAAATAGAAAATCAGATATATTCATATAGATATTGCTACTAGTATTTGAAATGAAAGCACATCTGTCAGAAACTAAATATAAGGAATTCAATGTATGGGGCAATGATTTAATAGCGAAATTCATAAAAATCAAATGAATCGGAATTATAATATTCACAAAGACTTTTCACTAAATCTATAATCGTTATTTAATAACTCGCAGTTTCTTGCGATGAACACTCCTAGAGGCACTCAATGTTTGTGAAATGTATTGTGACTAATTTTAGCACCCGTTTGTGGGTATAACCACTCATACATATAATATTTGAACAAGTATGAATAAATAACATATAGTAATGTCTCTTGAAGGCACATCGTTACTAAAAGAACTAATTCCAATCAGATCACCTATAGTCTTACACTAGAGACCTGGATTATTTCACTGTTTCTAAACACAAAGTTAGTACTTTTCTACATGACAGAGACTAATAATCAATGACTTCATGAACCGACCCAATATCTTGATCTATTGATCTGTAGACTTTTTTAAACTGAATTATATGTAACCCAGCGTAATGCGTCGGACTAGATAGAAGTCTTATGTATTAAGATCAAACAAGTCAACTGATAGAGCTACATGACGTTAATCATAATTATTTAGAACTTCTGTCTGATATCAGAGTCGTTTACTTGATGAATTGAGTTTGAACTACCAAAATCCCGAAAACAACATTTTTATATAACAAGTAAGAGTAGGGTAAAAAAATTGAAATATAAGGTAAGACAGCTTCTACAAGTTTAATGTATGGTTATTATAACCTGAAGATCTTTTCTACAATTCAGAAACTCATATAATTATAGCTTTTAAGTAGTACGCTTGGTTTTTTTATTTGCTTAAATTTGATACTGTTTTATCAGTGCCCAAATTGAACAATATGGCATTATGACCTATGAGACGATCTATGCATCAAAAATTTACATAATAAACTATGTTCATCGTCCAAAGGCATAACAAAATCAAAAGTAGACACAATATGATTAATCCGATAAAATAATTACATTTTGCTGTTGAAAGATCAGATCAGAAAAAAAATTTCATTTAATTACAAACTAACTTACTTTCACTGCAGCCTCAGCTAAATTTTTTGTACGTACAAACCATTGTTTTTTAATCATCGGTTCAATAATATCACCAGAACGAGAACAAATTGGCAATAATGCAGTTCGACCTCCATTGGCTCCAATATTTTGTCGACGTTTATATAGACCAAGATTAGTAAGTTGCTCAACTAAACGTTGACGTGCTATAAATCTGGGTAATCCCTGAAATAAAATTAATGGTAAACGCATATATTGAAGTTAGTCAAATAAATGATAAACAAATTATAATGTGGAGTTTCATTTCAATGATGATAAATAAGTTCATGACTATTTAGTTTAAATTCGTACTGACATAAAAAATCTTGTGACATAGACAAGATGAAAGTTATGGATGATTAATTACTGAGTAGTGAACAATGCTATGCTTGTCTAATCATTTAGTGTGGATCAAATCTTGTTGATCACATTGCAATGCAGCCATTAGTGATTCAACATCGTGTGCACTATCTTCAGATGTAAGGCAGTCGGAAGTAGTCTATCAGTAATAAAAGGTTAGACAAATATAACGTTAGTTACTACACAACGATCTATTAATTGTAAATAACTCAACTTCACAGGAGATCATTGCAGCCGGAATATTTCATTGGTAATGGCCTATACTTTAACGTTCAGAGACACAGGTTTGAGTCCATCAAGAGCGATCAGTTTCCTTAAGATTATAGGTACATCTTAATGAAAAGTGTCATGTAGCAAACAAATAGAGGTTCAGAGCTTCTTGTCGACAATGGTAGCTCAAAATAAAAGATTCGTTCTTAATTCAAACTATTAACAAGTAAATGTAATATTAAAGAAACTTCGGACTGATAATTATACCATACAACGTCACTCTTTGATATATGTTACAATTGAGTGGATTTACAAACAGCTATTTACGCAAGATACTTCAGATCCGTTGGCCGAACTCCATCAGCAACAACCTAAAGTGACGGAGAACAAATCAGCTTCCAGTTGAAGAAATTAAGAAAAGACGCTGGATGTGGTTAGGATAAACATTGCAGAAATCAGACTGCATTGCCAGGGAAGTCTCAACTTGAAATCCTCAAGGTGGAAGGAAAAAATGAAGATCAAAGAACACATTGAGTCGAAGATTAGAGGCAAACATAAAAAAGAATGAATAGCACTTGTGAACACAACGAGAAAGGAGAGCCCAAAACAGAATTGTTTGAAGGATCCTGGTTGATGGCCTATGATATATGTGGGGTAACAGGTATAATTAAATTTAAATAAACGAATGGACCTACGAACATTGAATTGTTACATATCTTCTTACGACAATGAATGTCCAGTCGAAAAAATGCAATACAGGACACCAACCATTTTTTTTCTCAAAACAATAAAATATCACCAGGTCAATGCCAAATGTTGCTTCAGGATTGGGTTGCATTGACACTCGAACTAATGATAGGGAGTGAAGTAATTGAGCGTGTCGATCGCTTCACTTATCTTGGAAGTCTCATTAGTCCTTGTGGTCTGGTGTGTGACGAAATCTCAGCACGGAAACAGAAGGCTCGACTAGCTTTTACCAACTGGGACACGTGTTACGTATGCCCAACGACCGACTGCCTCGACGTGCGATGTTCAGTGGTATAGGAGTAGGTTGGAAGAAAGCTAGGGGCGGCCAGACCAAAACATGGCACAAGTCCATGAAGTCACTGACAAGTGGACTGAGTCATGTTGGTAGGTGTAGACTACCTGGTTGGGGACCGCGAGATGATGGCAACCGATGGTTAGAGACCTTGAATGACATGGCTCAAAATCGTTTGCAATGGCGCAGGTGCATCCACTCTTTATGTTCTTCCAAATTCTAATCTTCTGAATTCTTCATGTCCCTTTCTTTTTTCTCTTTCCAAATTTATTTCACTGGATTATACTCCTTGAATAACATCTTCAAACCCTAATTTTTCTGATTACAGCTTATAATTTTACTACATCTAGCACTACGGGATTTGAATCGACCACTGCATCTTTGTGCTAATGTGGTGTGGCAACTCGAACTGATGTACGTACGTACGAAGTTCTACGTTGTTACTGACTGACTGACGGAGGTCAATGCCAATAGCTTATTTGAAATTATTTTTTTAGAATTAAGCAATATTAAATGGATTCTTTTCATATATAACTTCTAAAATTTATATCCTTCCATCTATCATTAAAACTAAGATTTCAATTGAACAATTATTATCATGTTCTTTTCTAAAAAATTAGTAAATTACATATTGATTTAAAAAAAAATAGGAAATAATAAAATAAAAACAATGAACAAAGATTTTCAAAAGAAATTGTTATAAACAAATAACCTACATCGAATTCACTTCCCGTATTTGTTATACAACCAGAATTATCAAATACATGTTTAATAGGGAGTTGATGCCGTTTTGCTACTTCCCAATCAACTTGACTATGACCTGGGCTGAGTTTTACAACACCTTATAATCAATTGAAATTGAAAGAAGATTAATGGTAGAAATTTTATAATCCATATAGAACATATATTTAGACGGTAGTAACTGGAAAAATTACCACGTACCTTGATGCTTTTTAGTAAAAATAAACATCAGTATAGTTCGATTTTTCAGTGATATTGAACAAAATTTTCCTAGATTTAACAAATGAATTTTGCTGGAATCAGTTTATCTTTTTAGTTGCTGTTCATCACAGATTGAGTTTATTTGAGGTGCCAATGAAAATACAAGAGCACTTAACAGCTGTTTGACCTAGTATTATAATTTTTAGCGGTGAATACCAAAAGTTTCGTCATATTCTGTAGCTATATTTTAATGACCGTTAGACCAAGAATGAAATAGAACTAATTAAATTTATAATATGTCATCAAATAGTTTGTGAAAATTCTATCCGATAAAAAGTAACGAGTAGAACTTTATCGGTGTTCTACAACTGCCACATGGAATTGTTTGCCCCAGTTGTCTAGTAAAAGTGTACTCCTAAGTGAGTGACTTTATATCGTATTACAGTAATTTAGATTTCATTTAATTAAATGTATTATCATACGTAATAATTAAATATGATTGATGAAGATCTACTTAGTGTCATAAAAAATATAAAAAATACATTCGATTAACTATCAAACCGTCAAATACTGAACCTCAGGCATAACATATCATAGCGATATCATCCTGTGCCTGCAACTGATATTCAGTAAAATAATCAGAATATAGACTATAAAAAAAAAACAATTGTTCACAAAGAAACGAACATTTCAGAATATGATTCATAAATATAACACATTACTTTACTGTTGAACATTGGTTAAGAGTTTACATTTGGAAAGAATTTGAGATGAATACACCGTTAAGTTAATTATGGGGGACATGATAGAATCAACGTTCAATAAGTAATAAACCTGATGAATAAAAACTACTAAAAAGTTTCTAATGATAAGGTTTATAGTCATAGGGGGGATTTGAAAAATATACACGTATTAGTTACGACGAAAATTTATATGTCTGATAATTACTAACAGAGAAATCTAGAAGTGTTTTCACTTATTTTGACGCATATATACAATCATATATATTCATGAATATATATATATATATATATATAGTTTGCTTATTTAGACTTGTTGTAAATACCGTATTAGTACGCATAAAACATTTAATTTCCATTCAGATTCAACTATACAACTCAACAACTTATTTTTCATATATTTCATGTAAATATACTTCAAAATCATAGCACACTTTGAAAAAGTTCAAAGTGGGAGGAAAGAACAAGAACGACATGAGCAAGGAAACGTCAACTAGTTACAACATGTATTTTCAAATAACAGACTTATGTAAATGTAACCGGTTACAATTCATTTTAAAGATATATTGACATCGAGTAACAAAAGTTAAATAAAATGTTTTAGCTAAATAACATTTTCAAATACTATGTTACAAAGATTTCATAATATCTAATTTTTTAAAATATGTATTGATGCTTTCTTGTAACAATAACCATGAGGACCTTTTTTATTTGTATTTCCGTATGACCTTTGCTACTTTCTGATTGGTTGCTGCCAATTTGCATATCCTAAGGTCATATCGGTTATTATAAGTAGAGAGAATTGTTCCAATTTTATTTTGTCTTCATAAATATCAAGTCTCTTTCTTAATTGTTGGTTTGTCTTTGGAGTAGGAATTATTATTGAAGAGCTGTGTGTCAGTGGTCAACTAAACGGGTTTGTATTAGAATTATCTCGATAGTTCGTAAACGGCAGTTGGCTGAACCGAGCAGAATCGCTAGATACCACACACTGATTAGAATAATAAATAATGACAATATAGTTTGAATAGGGTGGTTGTATAGATTCAAAAATGAATACATGTCAATACACGTGTTTACAATGAATTATGATAAATGTTACGAGTTGTAAATAGATAGTTTGAACTGAAAGAAATAAAATGAATTCATTGTATTCTGTTCAATGCGCTATTCACACTTTTTACAAATATAACTGGAATTGCATTTATTGTTTGCGTTACTAGCCGTAGTTAAATAGAACCAACAGTTTTGTGATGTGTGAGCGAGGAGAAAATAGTGATTAATTGTTTACCTAGTCAGACTAGTAGATAGTCTCAGAGGTTACTAGATGTGTCGTATATTTTCCTACCCCTTGTTATTATTGTTGTTGACGTTGAAATATACTCATGTTCTGGTTAGGCCAGTTACGTGTTCTTGATCAGAGTTGTGTCGAAGTCCTGTAGATTAGACACTGCCAGAGTATCTAGTGTAGATATTCATCTAAGGCAAATTAGTGTTTCATTAATGTAAGAGAGAAAACCGAACGTTATTTCAGTGGTAAATACAAACATTTTACAAACTGAGTTAATTCCGATGCAAGCAACCCGTTCACAATATGTTGACTGTGATACACATGCTTCAAGCGCTTCTCCAAAAAAAATAATATCACTAGGTACCTATAACATTTTATTTTATTTAGAATACATAATGTGTATGTAAAAATAATGATAACTTTTTATATTTAACCATCAAGCTGTACCAAAGTGGTGTGTTTCCTCCAATTTACTTCAGAATATATTATTCTCCTACATGTTTGTTGAATGAATATTCTAAACAAAACTAAATTATACCATACACCTTACCTGTGCCTATTTCAGGCTGAACAAATTGTGCATCGGCAATTATCGGAAGACGTTCATTTGGATAAAATGGATGTTCTACGTAACACCCAATTAAATGTTGATAACGTTTATCATCTGGATGGACAACTAGAGCTACACTAGCAAGCATTGTTTCTAAACGGGTAGTCGCGATAACTATTTCGTCCCATCTAGAAATATAACCAATAATTGAATGAGGAAACATGAATCTAACCAGTAGTGACGGTTGAAAAATTTAAACTAAATTATAGTGGTTAATTAGTAGAATCCAACTGGGAATGAGAGTTAGATAACATAAAACAGATAGTTACTAAGTGATCATTTGATGACTCTTTGAGTTCTATGAGAGGACGATCAGAGCTCAGAAAGTCAATTGGCAGTGTATTTCTCTCTCTCTCTCTTACTATGCAGGTGGGTGGCTCGGGTTCTAATCCGAGAAGAAATAACAGTTCCTTCAAAACTGCACAGTCATAAGTCACATATACTAAACGCTAAGTATTCAGTAGTCGAGTACAATTTAATATATAAAAACTGAGGGTTACGTCAATTATACAGTAGCTATCAGAAATGCACATTTATTAAAAGTAAAGAAGTCACGGAGGGACATATAATACTTATGTAACGTTTGAAAATCGAATCCTTAGCTATAGATATTCTCAAAAACTAAAAGTCTGCATTATTTTCCTACTCAAAAAGTACATGACTAGAGGCAAACTGCTGAGTTTTAAGATTTATTCGAATTACTTACTACACTAGCAAACAGATCGAAAGCCTCTAAAAAAAGAACCTAGAGGTGTATGTTTCACTAGTCCTTATCAAATAGGAGTAACTTGGGTTTGAAATGGTGATATGTTTGTGACTCATTGATTAAAATTACCTTGAATCAAAGTGATTACATTCTGATAATGATGATTTTGGTGGGTCTATCACACGATAGGCGAAATAATCCATTATACCGAATTCAATTGGCTTTTCATAACCTGGTACATTGAGAAATTTCGACTCTGAAATATCACGAAATTCAACCTTTTAAATAAAAAAAGAATCAAGATAAAAAGAAAGTTACAAAAAGAAAGAATAATCTTGAAAAAACAAATTTTATGACAAGGACATAAAATTAGCATACATTAAAGACATAAACGGGATTTAATGATCAAGAGTTATTGTTAGTAATGATATTTTTGACTTTAATTTTCAAAAATACACATAAATCTTTGGCTATGTCGAATGATAAATAATTGAATGAGTTTTATGATTGATAGATATACTACTGAAATAACTCAAAATACTTTAGTGTTTGTAAATGAACTGATGTTATCATTATAATTAACTCACTAATGAGTACAGGCCGATGTACTTGGCTTTGAGCCATACCGAAGTAGGTGGAGTGATATTCAAACCTGTGACTCAGTGATTAAAAAGGCATAAAATGGTTTAACTATTGTATAATTCTAGTCTTATTCAGTTTCGTTTGATTTTATTATAATTAATCAAATAATAAGGTCATTAGCTAATGTTTAATGTAAATCTAAATAAAAAACTACTCTTAATTGCATTTTATCTCAACAAAACTAGTACACTGAGTAATACATTTGTTAAGTGCCGACAACAAACATCGAAAATAAATCTGCTCCAAATACATACGCTTTAATTTTATAAATAACATATAGTTTTGCAAATCTAGTTTGTATGAACAGTATATAAAACAATTCAGTTTAACTGTATAAGTAATCATAAACATATTCTTTGATCACAGAAGTTCGATGTACATACGAATAAAACAGGCGAATTCAGAATATAATCAACCACAGAAAAAACGTATCTTCCTCATGTAACCTTTAGTTAGTTCTTTGGAACTTCAGATAAAATTCAAAATGTATCATCCATTTTAATACAACTTCCATAATACACCAAATTAGTAAAGATGGTGTAGTTTACAGATTGTTATTCTTCCACCCAATAGCGACGATACATTGTGACGAATAACAGAAATATTGAGTTGACATCAATAAATTACTTATAATAATTTGAAACAATTTTCCTTTTTTTTCTCAACTTACTTCGATATCGGAGATGGCTGTTTGGAGATAACAACACCAAGATATAAAACTTTCAGACTGATAAATCAATCCTGCATTGTACAATCTTAAAAATGCTTCAGTGACACACTCCGAATGGCTCTAGGAATAATTTTGTTTAAAAATATATTATGAAAATTAGAAAGAAACGATAACAACGCAAATATTAGCAGATATAAACCCACAATCAATACAATGGAACTGAAATTTTACCATCAAAAAACATATTTATCCATCAGTGATAAATGAAAAAGACGAAAGTGATTGAGAATTTGTCCTTATCTACAGTCTTCGAAGTCAGTTAACGATGATGATTAATACAGAAAGTTCAGGTTGTGGATGTCTTGATAGATTGATGGTTCATTATTGCTACATATTAACAGAATGTGATTTGTTTTGCAATCCAGAGCAAAAATATAATCTTTATGACTTAAAAGCATATTCAAATCATGAACCGGACTAAGTTAGACCACCATTGAAAACCAGGAAACACTTGACGGCCGTTTCATCCTTGTATGGGACCACTCAGCAGTGCTCACCGACGATCACTGATAATTTTTCTAGGAATGCCACTTTATAAATGTAAACCATTTAATTTAGTCATCATATTCAAGTGTTTGAGCATGTAATTGATAGAATAACTGAATTTATATTTAACACAAATTTATTGATATGCATAGTCAACTGCCCAGAAAATACAAGACAGAAAGTATAATACTCATTTAAATACTTACTAATTTTAATCTTTCTGGTACTATAAGATTACTATTGATATAGTTGCGCAAAATACAATCAGTTGTTTTTGTATAAAAACAAACATAATTTCTGCATGATCTGCCATCTTCCACAGAAAACACTTTTGTGAAATATGCGGATGATCTCACTGTATGTATGCCTATATCTTCCTCTTTACATCCCATAGAAATGAATAAGTTTTTGTCTCGTATTGATTGTTGGTCTGTTGGTAATGGTCTCATACTTACTCCGTCTAGATGTCAAGCTGTTAACTTTAGCATGAGATATGAACGGAATATAAACACTATTTTGAGATCCCATAGTGCTTGTACCATCGGAGACTCTTTGATAAACGCGGTGTCGAAGGTCAATTATCTTGGTGTCACCTTTTCCTCTGATCTGTCTTGGTCTTCCCACGTTTTATCGTTATCAAAGAAGGTTTTCCGTCTGACCTACTACATAAAGAGATTGCATGCTCTTGGAATTACTCGTCATTTTCTCTTACAATTTGTCAATTCCTGCATATTACCTATTATTCTTCACTGTTCTCCATTATTCTTTCCTGGGCTTTTGAGAAAAGACTGCTGTATTGCGGAGAATGCTGAAGGCAAGTAGTAAGATGTGTGGTGAACCTTTCGAGGTCATAATTAATATGGTTGTGGATAGACATTTAAAATCATGCAAACTCCTGGCAGGTGTTATTTTATCAGATAATAACCATCCCCTTCACTCATATCTTTCTTCTTGTATATCTTCTGGTAGAATGAGACGTAATTACATTAAAATCCATGCACGCAAGCAAAAGTATAAAAGTTCTATAATACCTTACCTAGCAAATATACTCTGTGACGAACAGGTTGTTAGAGTTAACCTAGTCAATAACCTGCATTCTTAACATGTCTTTAATTTGAAAAGTTGTACAGTTTTTCGGTTATTTTTTAAACCTTTTTTGTATTTGTTACTGTTTTTTGTTGTTTTTGCGTAAGTAACTTGTTGAAATACCCTGTGCTGAGAATTCTATATTGTACCAAAATATAATATTGAATAAAGCCGTTAATAATAATAATAATAATAATAATAATAATAATAAAGAGCAATTCAACTAAGAATTTTTAAGTTTCGCTGTCAATTTATTGCTTACAGGACTTAATGTGAAAAACTCTCTACTCCAATCCAAGCATAATCCAAGACTATTCAATTGTTCACGGATCAAATCGGCGTGTCTAGAAATGGAGTACATAAAGACTTAATGAAAGATATGAATATATGCAAACTACCGATAAAGATCTATTTATATCAACCAGTCAATATAAAGAGAAAAAAACAATAAAAGCGAGCTTGATATAACGTCAATGTTGAAACTAGAACCAATTCATATTTGGCACTCATCAGCAAGGAATACACCTGTAATCTTGAGAGACTGATGCTCAGAACTTGGGTTCAGAGTTTACTGTCGACTACCTCTAACCATTACCTTACATTTCGACATAGTGTACGGGATGAGGAGCTACTTAGATTACTGGCCATGTTGTAACTTGAACGACAGAACTCGATCAGCTCTAAAGAAGCACCTGACATTCATGACATTGGTCACCGCTCATTGATCAATCAATTGTAAATACATATGTCTTATAAGAAGTCGGTTGAGACCTAAAATGCTCAGTGGTAGCGTCTCTGACTGTGAAGCTAGATGACAAAGGAGCGAATCTGTCAAAGAGAATCAGTTCCTTAAACATAACAGGTACACTTTGTTGATGGGTTCCAAGTAGCACGAAGCCTAGGTTCAAGGTGTCCTATCAACTTCCACCAACCACTATCTTTCAATAGCTCTATTCTCTTCTAATTTTTCAGTTACTTCAAAATACAAATCTTGTCAAAGGAATTTATTGAAAAGAACCAAATAATATTGGATTTACATCTGCCTTAATTCAATATAAATTAATTTTATTGATTACCAACTGAACAACTGTTATATTAACACTAACTTTAAAAACACACTAATGTACGGAACTGTAACGTGAAAGATTACCATAAAAGTTACCAAAATATTACTACAATTCAAAAACAACTGCCTACACAAGATACTCCAGATCCATTGGGCAGAGGCCATCAGTAATAATCTACACTAGAAGAGGACAAACCACCTGCTAGTAGAGGAGATCGGGAAAAGACGGTAGGAGTGGACAGGATACACTTTGCGAAAACCATTATGTTGGATCACAAGGAAACCTCTGACTTGGAATCCTCAAAGTAAAAAGAAAAAGCAGACTAAAGAACACATGTTGTCGATAATTGGAGGCAGACATCAAGACCATGAATATCACTTGGCGAAAGCCGGAAGGGAAAGCCCAGGACAGAAGTGTTTGGAGATTGCTGGTTGGTGACATATGCCCCATTAGTAGCAGGGATAGGAAGATAAGTAAGTGGTCTAGAAGTTGAGTAGCTTGGCCACTTATTTACCAAATAAATTCAAAACAGAGAAACAATGAAACCATAGGTTAAGTATTGGTTAGTGGTTTCACTATGTCATGAACTAACTGGAGTTAAAGTTATGGACCATTGAATTTCATCTTAGTAGTTTGTAGGTGTAGACTTAACCATGAACTATTGGGAAATTTAAGACTGATCTTGCGATGGTGGTAGCGAATAGATTATCCCAAGAAGTTTAAAACTGAAACTCTTTGATTTTTAAGCCTATTCAAGCTTATGATGAAAATAACCCTTAAATAAAATCAGCACTTAAGAATGGGCAGGCATACCATGACTATTCAGTGAACGATAAATGTAAATATCGAAGTCCTGCAAGTGGCTAGTGGGAGCCCATATAGCTCAGTAGCAACGCTTCAGACTGTGAAACGGAGTGGTATAAGTTCGAGTTCCATAGTGATTATAGGCCACCTCAAAACTGTAGTTACGATTTGCTGACGTGCACTGATTCCAACCACATTGACACTGGAAGACATTAAATTACACATAAAAAGAAAACAAATACACTAACTGATTTTTCCAATCCCAAATACGTTGAATAAAATTTTCCCGTCCCAGTAATAATCTTGGATTTGAAGGAACTTGACAGCTCGATGCTGATGACTTAGATTGATTAATAGGAAATTGACTAGAATTTAATGAATATTGTTTTAGTAAATCTCTTTCAACTACTGACTGCGTCGCAATTCCAGCATGATCCATACCAGGAACCCATAGAACTGTTTTTCCGTGCATTCTGTAACTAACAGAAAAAACTAACAAATAATTAACTATAAATCGTACCACAATTTCAAGTGAATGGTATCATCACTACAAACTAATGATAAAAACTTTATTGTAGTGATCGATTTCAAAGACACTTATTGCAAGATTAAATACTTGAATGATGACTAATGGGTTTTAAAATGAAGAGAGATTTAGATAACACAACATAATCCATAACCATGTTCTCTTCTTCTTTATTAAGTAAGATCAACTTTATCAACACAATGAATCTAAACAAGTGCATAGATAGTATTCCATTCGCTCTGTAGTTTAAGTGCTAATAAGTAGGGGAAAGCATCGGTTGAGAAAGTACATTTAGTACAAGGCGTTAAATAAAATTCCAATCAAATTGATAACTATGAGCCCCCCAATGACTTGGTACGGTTGACGGTGGAGACAGTCAGCTCTTCTCGAAATGCTCTGACATGGCCACACGTATGAAGACACTATCACGGAAGTCCTACTCACTGCCTTTTCGCAGCGAGGGTGTTGTTTACGAAACTGAGAGGACGAAAAGCGAATGTCCAGCTCGATAACCGAATTGGTGGACACAGAGAGTATTTAGTGCCTCCTTGTACCGATATTTATGTGTTCAGATAAATAAAACTGTATTAAAAGATGGTGGTTTGAGTCTAACATTATTCTTATTGAAAAAAAGCTATATAAAAAGAACTATTTAGATGGTATTCTCATAATAAAAAATTCCACCAAATCGCGTGCCACCTGAAGTTGCCATTTTTTGAAAATTATTGATCTACAGTAAACAATAAATAATAGGAATAATCATGGATGGATAGTACTTACCAACGAGCGATTGCATCTTGAATGGTACATGTAAGCGCATGTCCAACATGAAGTGTACCTGTGATATTCGGAGGTGGTAAAATCATGCTAACAATAGACTCATTATGATTTAACGCCAACTAATAACAAGAGAGAAAATACATAGTTGTAAACAACTGAACTAAGAAGCTGAATAACTCGAATGTATATATAAAACAAAATTGGCTTTGTAAGTATATGTTTGAATATGATTGAATTTATAAAACTTACTCTTCTATATTTATGATGAATATGATTAAATAGACAGCCTAAAATACCCCTTAATTACAAGACTTTGGATGCAGAGTGAAACTAAACAACGAAACGTTTAACACCACCACTCACTATCTACAATATTTATTTTGGTCATTGCGTAGTGAACACGAGCACCAGTGGGGACAATCGAATGCATTTGACACAAAATTGCAGGAATTGTTAATAAAATCTAACAATCAAATAGTAAATACGTAATTTGCAATATGTCCATCAATTGTCTCATAATTACTCAGACTTCATTGTTCTTGCATTTTCATAAAAATTGCATTCTGTTCCCATTCTTTACTGTTCGATCCTCTTGTCTCTCTGCTGCCAGACATTCTGTTCCTGACTAACATCATATACTACTTATGTCGATATAAGTAGCACACCACAATTGTTTACAAAAACACTTGGAAATCTTCATTTTGTATAAAATGGGTGGAAAACATGAATATTATACAAAATAGTACGTTCGTTATTAATGTTTAACTCAAACAAGATGTAATTACGTATGATTAGATAAAAAATCCAAGTAATATGGTGTTCAATGCGAACCAATGACATTAATCAACCAACAAGAGACCAACTTATGAAGAAAACATTAATCCATGCGAACATCAGTTGAATATGAAAGTAAATAAGTTAAATGTATGAATATATTGGTGTATTGATAATTTAGAAATCTCTTAATCAGAAAAAAAACCTGAACACAGATATTATGAGTTATTAGTACTGATTCATGTGATTGTTGACCCATTTTTTATAAAAAGAGGATTAGTAAATAGAAATCATATATACTCGTTGTCATTATCAAAATAAAAGGCAGAACAATAAATGCTTATTAATGATAATAATAGTGATGAATATAGATTATACGAGTCAGTATTCACTTACTGTCTTGTCTGGATTAAACAGTTGTAAACGATCCCATAAAGATTTACATAGATTAGGATTTTCCACTAATGTTGGATTATACACAGGTTCTGAATCTAAGAGACAAGAGAGATAAAGGTAAATATGTGTAGAAATATATTTTTTCACATCTATTATACATCAGTGAAACTTTATATATTTTCCACTTGTAACATAGATTGTTAATTGAATTTTTATCTCAATTCTGTGAATACTTTCGTTTCTCAGTTTAAATCATTTATCGAGTAACTAATAAAATTCCACAAACTAAAAGACGAGACCTGTCTCAAACTACGCAATATTATGGAGAGAAAGAACACTTACAGCGTCAACAACGCTGTTAAACATAAAGTAAATCTTTCAGATAAGTAAAAAATGAGAGTTATGACATATACTATGAGACTCAAAACAACGCATGGATATGTTATGTGGGAGCATCGATAAATAACGGAGAAAAAAGTCGAGTGATTTGTCTCAAAAATAAACAAGTCATTGAGAATAGAGAAAATTACCAGAATAGCATGTAAATGGAGGATCACGAAAGCGTTCAAAAGTACAATTTTCGGTAGAAAATGGAAATATTGAAATAAGTGTATAAACAAGTGGGATAAACTATATGTGATGAGAAAGAAATATCACTTCGGAAGTGAACTTCATAGAAATATTGAAAAATTCTGGGAGGACATAAATTGCATCGATCACAAATGTCACTCATTGAATGAATCCAACCTCTACTACAAACAACTTGCATGTAGTACTTTGCAACATAAAAAGATTAGTGGTAAATTTTAACCACCATATTGAGGAAAATTTGTAAATAAAGGTAATTAAACAATTTTACAGCATTTCTATGGAAAGGCTCCTCGTTGTTCATAATTCTGCTCTTCCAAAAAACATAATCAGATATGTCGTTATTTTTATTAGCATTGATAACTTCTATAACCAGGATCGAATACTGAAATTACTAAATAAATAAATTAGGATATAATTGAATAATCTAGATGGAAAGTGGGTATATTGAAAATCACCATTTAAGCCGTTGGTTAACGAGGTATAAATTTTTCGACACTAGATTTTGATCCATGCTGCTAAGTTGTCAGAATAATCTATTGGTTTATCTATTTACCTGTTGAACCCTCAATGAACATAAATTATCTAATTACTTTTCGACTGATTCTAGATTGTCTAAAAATGTACAAAAGGAGTTCAATTTCTATCATATGAGAATTATCACAAGTTACACATCACACGTTGTCTTCTGATATTTTTATGATGTATGGTTCTCGGAGTACCAATCGTTTTGTTGTCAATTTGTGATGTGTTACTGCAAATCTGTTCTCATCACTGTTTCAGTCCAGTCGATCACATCATACTTCTACATACCTGATGCTACAAAGAATGAAATAAATCTTCCAGAGAAAAATGGGTATCCTGAATAGCACATTATAAAAACTATAAGATTGAGACCTTATACTACTTCACTTTCATAGCTTCTGTTCATTAAATTATAAATGTAGACTAATAAAATTCCTTTACCATGGAGAGAGGAAGTTATGTTTTACAGATAATATTGAAGAAGAATGTTTAGAAATAGAAAGTTATTTTCGATCAAATAGTTACCCTGGCTCACTTATGATGAAATAAATATACAAGAGAAGCAACATAAAACTATTTGAATCATATTCAGAGGCAACAAAATTGCAAAAAGATGAATAAAAGACTGAAAGTAGTTTTATGTAGTTCATTTACTTCATCGAAATAGGTCCCAATAAACTGAATAACAGATATCAAAGTAAACAAATACTTAGCATATTAAACCTCCGACTCGATTCACCAATTTACATATACATACAAAATCAGGTACATTGAAAGATAGAGAAACAGGAATTTAGATGTTTTAATGGGTGTATTCCTAAGAGAAATCGTCTCGCAGACAGAAGCTTCATGTACTTGACATGAAACATGAGGTGGGAAGTAGGTACTCCCTCAAAATAATCAGTACGCAATACACATCAATTCTATTACCATTCACGGAAACCATATAAATAAGGAAGATAAAAACAAGCCTTCGTATCAAAAAAAAATTCAAACGTTAAGTTCTAATTGTCTTCTTTATAAAAAAGGAGAACAATGTTAAAATAGTAATTTTCATCTTTTAAAAGAAATCATGATTTCAACGTAAATTCCTGTTTCTCGTCAGCTGCTTACAAACCAAAAAATGTGATAGAATTTTTACATTGAGATAGAGTGAAAACAAATGACATAGATGAGTGTAAATAACTGGGTTACAATAATAACTATATATATATATATATTATATATATATATATATGCTAGAACAGGTCAGAGGTCAAAAGGAATTAATTCGGGTTGGGAGGTAAATTTCTGTATTATCCTTACACAATTTTAACAAATTTTTTGTCATAATATTTTAAAACTATAACTGGAATTATCCATAACAAAAATCTCATTACAATGTTGCCTTCTAACCAATATCATCTATGCATAAATCACTAAGAAAGCGTTTATCAAAATTAATGTAATAAAATGAATAGATATTTAATAATTCAAACCTTTCGAAGAAAATTCGAGCAACAAAAACAAAAGTATACTTTTAACCAAATAAGGGTAACTTACGTAAAATATTCCACCGAGGACTAGATGTTGATACAGTAGTTTCATTATCATGTGATATTTCTGGACACACTGTTTTCCATCGAATAGAAATAATATTTAGCTGATGTCTTGTAAATACTTTTTTATGACCATATCCAAGATATAGCGGTATTCGTAATTGGTTTTGCATTCAGCACTTTTTTTATTATAAAATGTAGAGTTCAATAAATAATATAATGTAGTGTAGCCGATTCATTAAGTGTTCTTGTTCATGTACTCGATATTAGGTTTAACTATAAGTGCGAGAGCTATTCGAACTGAAAGGGATAGGATAAAACTTGAAATTGTAATGGAACGGTTGATACACAATTGCTTTAAATACTGGACAATAGATTCACATAAGATAATGTCTTATTCCGATATAAAGTAATTTATTACTTTCCTTAGTAAATTAATCACATGAGTATGCTAAAATCATTTTTTTTAATGAGTACGAGAATTGTTCAAAATCTTGAAACAAATCACTTAAACTTTTTAGGTACTTTTTAAATGAAATCTAGCTAGAATAACAGAGGTAAATAGTTAGTGCAAATCGCAAGTTACACTAAGTCAAAATTACTCACTCATATACAAAATGTGACAGTAAATGTCACAATAAAATTTTAATAGCCGTTTTAACAAGGATAAGTTTAGTTAACTCGGTATCATGGATACACTTAAGTCGGTCAAAAATTCTATCCCTTGATTTTCTTAAAAGATATTATCTGTTTACGATTGAAGAAACATGACATAAACACAACCAAATCTTTCATTTTTTCAATAACCACACTTTTTTCATAGGCAATTACTCAGTCAGTCAATAACAACGTAGAACTTCGTACGTACGTACATCAGTTCGAGTTGCCATATCACATTAGCACACAGATACAATTGTCGATTCAAATCCCGTAGTGGTAGAGGTGATAAGAGTATAAGCAGTAATCGGAAAGATTAGGGTTTGAAAATGTTATTAAAGGAGTATAATGCAGTGAAATAAATTTGGAAAGAGAAAAAAAGGACATGAAGGCAATTACCAATTAAAAATGCTTTTGTTAATGCGTTAAAAAGACATCATTATGGATATTGGTTTTGGTCACTGATCAATATCAGTTGGAGAATTATTGAAATGTTATCCACTGCAGAGCGAAAACTTAACAGTCCAAAAGTTAAACGCTTGTCATAAAATCTAAAAGGATTTGAGTTTGGTACTAAGTACGGCTGTCGGTGAGCGCACGGTTGAGTTTAAAAACCAGGGTAAAACAAGTGTCTAGTGATTATTGATAGTTTTTCAAATTAAATTAATCTCCACAAACTTCTGAAGCTAATATAATAGGTGTAAATCTAAATAAGACCAAGAAAGTGGAAGTATCATAGTCAAGATCGAACGTTGCTGATCGATGTTTTATTTAACATTTTGAAGCCGACTCAATATAATTTTATTTATACTATTATTACCATAATAGTTAACAGGTATGATAAATTAATGTACATGCACAGTTTGGAGTCATTATTGCCTTTTTAATTGTACTTTATTTGACAGGATTTAGTTATGAATAAGGAATATATATAATATTAATCAATTGTAAATGATCGATTAGTGCGTAAAATGATAAAATTTATATCCCATTTAATAAAATGGACTTATTTTTTAGAAGGAAAATTATTTTATGGTGACATATATCAAGTTGATATCAAAAAGCGATAGTCTATACGAGGATTACTGTTATCCTGATATGCTTTCATTTTAGTTAATCATACATACATAGTATAAACAAACACATTAGATATCATTTGAAAATTTGTAATATAATCGAAATAATTTATTTGCATAAGTTAACGAAATAACAAAAAAGAAAATTGCAACAACTGAATGAGGTAAGAAAGTCAACCGATTTGAGGGTGAAACGAATGTTTACTGGTGACAATGGATGATAATCGAGAATCCCACGAACCTGAAATCATTAGACGTGTTGCATACTCGCAAAAAAAAATCTCCCCAGTGTCCTCTAGTTTTTAGTTTATCTCACCTTTAAACCTTAAAAAGTTCCTTATCTTCTTAGATTGTTATGCATACGTAAATCTAACCTAGTGGTGAACAGTGAGGACTTACTTTGATCAGGTAATAGTATACCATATACGTGAAAGGAAAACCAACAGGTACAATTCTAAGCTTAATTTAAAAAGATGTGATTAAAATAGATGATAGGGTAGGTACGAAAATGGATTTTACGATAACTTATCAGAAGCAGCACACCATTCATCACATGGGGACCGTCTCTTCCAATCATCCAGGGAGTCAATATCAAAATTCACAAGTTTACAGACGCTTGCTTAACTTTCATCAAGAAATATCCTCAATGTAATGCTAATACTTTTGACGTCAATTATCACACAAGTACACAGCAATCAAATACTTCCGATTTTCTGGACCTGTACAGCTCTCGCTAGACATTTTTAAACATGCTTTTTAAAACCCACATCAGTTATTTCTGTCAGACAGTAAGTGGAAATACGGAAACGATTTTCACCCATATTGTGACAGACCATAGTTAAGAATTATAGCTGAGCTTGCTCGATCTAAAATAATGATGGGTTATACTTATAATATTAGGTCACAGTCCTTAAAACACTCTGAAATTGGTCATCAAGTCCTATTGCTCTTCTTAGCTCTTAATTTCTCTAGATCACTAAGGGTTTGAAATCCAATGTCCATCTCTGGATGAGTGTGAAGCGAAAAAAATAATTGCGTACACAAAGTTGTTCGCAAGTAACCATTTTTGATTTTATAGTGCTCAACACCCAGCACTGAAAATCTGAAACAAAAGCATGTATGTATTTTCGAGCTATTCTCCTTACTAACCACTCTTCTTTGTATAAAAGGAGACTAGCTGGAGATGCTGACCACCTATGAAGAAACCTTACTACTGCCACACTTCAGTACAGACAGTAGTATAACTACATCTTTTATGCCCAGTCGCTGTGAACTTCTGACTCTCGAAAAAGTATGTAGATTCGCTTAATAGACCTAATTGCAGTGGGAAATTTTAGGCTTTAAACAGATAACTATTTCATCTTAACTATCCTTCAGTTTCATCATAACAGAAGACTGTTCGACTGATTGCATAATTAACACAATCATGCCGCAAACTAAAATGATTTCTAACGTTAGCCATGGCAGAGCACAAATTACGAAGTCATAGAAGATATAAGGAAATAGTTGATAAGTATTTGCTAGACAACTGATTTTTCTTAAGTCTGTAAAAAACGATTTATTTTTAAAAAAACACACATTTTTTACACTACACAGAGAAAATATCAAACTTTTAACGGCTTATAAGGTATAAAATAGTCTTTTAGAAATATACTGAAACTAAAAATTTCTTTCAATAAATCGAAAAATCAAAAAGAGTACATGCAGTAAAATGCAAATTTATTTCATAATATGAAAAGTTTTCCAAGTATTTATAAGGAATATGGAATAGAAGTATAGACCTACAAGATCCGTTAATAGATAAATAATGGATATTTACATAAGTGTATCACATACAATCAATTAATTGGACGTAGTTCATAATCAATTACAATAGGTGATGATGTGGATGGTGCACAATTCTTCTTAGCTGATGATTCACGTGCAGCATCCAATAGAACATTGATGAGATAACGATCTTGAAATGGTTCGGGATTTAAACTTCGTCCAATTATACCATGACCACGAACAGGTGGCCATGGATTTCCGTGCAATTCCAATATTCCAAATGATTTAGTACCACTAGATTTTATCGGATGAACTGGAGGAAAAATCTGAAACAAACTAGTGTATGCGCGTTCATAAAACCTGTATCTTGGTACAAATACCTGAAACGAAAATAATTAAATCATATACTATAGTAGTATACACCACACAGTATTAGCAGGAAAAAAAGAATAAATACCACAGAGCTTATATGTAGATTTTCTGAACAAGTTTCAGTTATAAAGTGAATAAACAAATTAATTAGTCATATTTGGGGCTTAATAAATAAACTATCTAAACTATAGTTATAATGAGTTCCAGTTCTAGTGTACGAACATAAACAGTCAATATGATAAATATACAACATAGATTTGTCTAGCCTAAAATTGAATGGAATATACACTTTATACTTCATTATTCCTTAGTAAAATTCACCTAATGAATCTATTAATTAACAATCTATTATTATAATATGTTTACTAATGCATTTACAAAATCTGTTAGGATATTGAGAGTTTTGTTAAATTGATTTCATTCATTATAGATACTCATGAAAATCTAATAGTTATTTCTTTTAGATATCTAGAATTCACAGTATGGATACCTAGTCATTATCCTATTGTTAATTAGTTAATGAATAATAATAATATTATTATTATTAAGGATGTGAACAAAGCAAAATAAACACTTATATCCAACTACGTTTGAGAACAAATTCAAACAGTAACTAAATAGTAGACATAAATTTGATAATCTAAATTAGAATTTAATCATTATGTTATTTTAAACTGAAAGTCAATTTTAGTATTTGCGCTAAAACTAACTGACAACTAATACCTTTATGTAAACTTGGACGGTAAAAAAACACTCCATAGAAAACCATGCAATTTGTTTTGTTTTACGACTTCCGATTGCTGGAAGTGATAATCATTGTAGAACAGAAAAGAACTCTCCAATGAGTAACACTTTTCAAAAAGTTAAGTGAGATAAATCTCAGAAATCTGACTTTAATGTTGAGCAATAAACCCAACACATCTAGATAAACGAATAAATAAACTTGTACGTTTCCTCAAGCTGACCATCGAGACTACGAAACTTTTGATTTATATAAACCATATTACTGACAAACGCTTTAAAATCCGTATCTCAGAACGGATCAACAACACTAGCCAAAACTGAATCAATCCAGTCTATGTACGACGTTCCTGAGACACACATGCAAGATGCAAGTATACTTATTGAGTTAACTTCACCTAAACAGCGCCATAATTCAATACGACTTTTCTGTAGACAGGAATATTGTCGTAGGTTTGATGACTCTGGAATTTCAGACGTCAACTCTTCGTGCTTTATTAAAGTCAATTTCGTGGACGCTTAGAGAGTCAGCTACAACGTAGGGCTATTGCCACTTATAAGTCTTATAAGTGAATGCTTGAATCGGTTTTCTAATCTCTTCTAAAAATCCCAAGCTAAATCTACACGGTAGCTTGAGCACAAGAAAAAAATCACGAAGTGCGAAAAGAATGCTTTGCTCCAAGGTTAGTTTATGTATAGAAAAACGAGGGTGTTTATATTATTTCAAACAGCCTTGGGCTTCTGAAAGTTTCTGGAACCATATTAAATATAGTAGAAGCATAGGTAATTATTCAATCAAAAACGTGACACTTGATTCCTCACTTTCTAGATGCTTCTGAGCGGTTTCTGTTCAACGCTGACTGGATAAAATGTTCCTCAGAGTCTTACGGACCCCTACGTGCCTTTGCGAGGAATATTTTGGATCTCCCCAACAATGAGTGACTTACCGTTATTCTACATTTTCAGCTCCGTTTTAAATAATCTTATCAAAGCTAGCCAAACCTCTTTGAGGATGTCGAACAAATGTAAGCAATCATAGTTGCTACTGACACCGAATAAGATATTGGAAGGGTGAATATATTGAACGGGGTGAAATGGTTCTTTAAACATTCATTCCCACTCCAGATGAATAGAATGGTAACGGGCTTTATCTCCTGCAAATTATAATTGATAATCGTTTGTTCCCAGCCGATACAAATGATAAATAAATATTTATATGGACTAAGCAGTTGATTGTGTCGACCCAAAGATGGAGTCAGGTTTAATAGCTAAAAGTAACCTAAAGAACTCCGTTTGAAAACTGTTAGTCTTTGACACGAACCAAGTTAAAATCAAATCACATGTTGGTTAAGAAACTAGGCATATATTTGGTTTAAAAAAGCCAGAAATGGTCTTTTCAAATAAGATGTTGCAATGAACAGGACTGAAATTTAGCAGGTAAATACAGTTTCGTGCAGATGGCACTATGTGATAGCTAACAATAATACTCGACTGCCAAAACCAGAATTTGTGAAGCAAATTTCCGATACACGATCTTATTTCAGAGTAAAGATAATAAGACTCCCAATACTGCATAAAACTGGTGATGAGCAACAGCGTATACAAAACACAAACCCAAATCCTACTGTTACTAGTAAGTTGATGCATGCAGATAAAATTACAAAAAATGCAGAACATACAAAATTAAAAATCAGTTTTTCGAATACCTTGAATAATTTTTCAACTAAACGTTCCTCAGTTAGCCAAAACACAGAAAGCTCTAGAATACCAAGATTGAGTTTATCGTTGGTTTTTGGTTCCTTAGAATTTTTCCAAAGTTCAAATAGCGAAACGAGATCCTGTTCAGCTGATGCCAAGATGCTTTCCTGAATCAAACGCTCAGCGTATAATCGAGTTTCAGTAGCATGTGGCCATGGTAATTCGATGCGTTCATCATCAAGTAGCTTTGAAACATATCGTCTAAGCAACATCATACGACCTGTTACACCACCACCAACACCCTCAGCCCTTCTCATACGAATCGGTCTTGGAGAAACTGGAAAACGCAATCGAGTAACAGCTGCACCATAGTCACCAACTTTTCCACTCTGATTGGACGACTTTCTGCAAAGTTGTACTAATGAAGTTCCAAAGCGAAGTAGTCTGGTACTCGGGAAATTCGGTAACAGGGAGTAATATGAGAATGGTGACAATTTCGGAATCTGAAAAGATTTTAAGTTGAAAGATTACTAGAAAGTCTGCGACTATAATATATGAAACTTGTCAAGAGTAAAACAAGGGTTGAATCAAACATTATAGAAAGTAAATAAAAAATCTGAAATTGTATTTAACGTGTGAAACTCGTACAGAAATAACATGACTGCGGAACACACGAATTCGTTGGAAATGGAAAACCATACTTTCCTTAACATCTATAAAAGAAATTCCCGAAATGACAATAAGAAACTTCATGAATTATATAACCCGTTGGGTGTTTGAAGTGAAAGATACTGGATCCCAGTCATTTTGCAAACAATACAGAGGTACAGGTGCATCCAGCTGGCAAGTCTCAAAAAGGACGAAACGAGCGTACTGGATTACACTGCTCGCCGCATTCCATTTATTCTATAACCATTTGTGATGTAATTGTTATATTGAAGCAACATGCACAGGATGCACATATTCCAACTAAGACTGGTCAGAATTCAGTCAAAAAATATCTAAAACAAGATAATTCAGACCATTACAAATCAAATTAAATGAAGACCGCAAACAATATAAGGACCAAGTCTTCAAAATGCTATACCACAGGCACCAAAATCATTTACAAATTGTTATATTTGAAAATAAATATGAAAATCCAACGATTATATAGAACAGAGTCTCCAATAAATGTGAAAATTCATGCATCAGAAAATGTACAATTATTGTTATTATTAAACGACCTCACCCAGTACTAACGGAGACGCTGTTAAGTGACCGGTTAACACACACAAATTTAGTCTTATATGATATCGGTCGTAATTCAAATAACACAACAAATACTGTATATTCTGTTCAGTAAATACGTTAAGTGAGAAACTAAGTTTGTTAGTTATGGATAACCATCGACCACTTGAAGTGGTGTTGCAGCCGCTTGTGTTATTTAATCGCTAATTCACTGTCTGGGTAATTCTTTAAGAAATTAATTTTGAAAAATCGTTTGTGCATACAATTCCAATAAAGCATTTACAATTGAGAAAATTGTGTGCAGAAACAACACCAAAGTTCTTGACACCTGACTGGAAACTGAATCAATATCGCAATGAAACGAAGAAAGGATGGCACAGTTCCACATTCAGTTTATAAAAAACACACATGGAATGGGGTTTATCTCAATTTCAATAGCTTTTGTCCAATCAGTTACAAAAAGGCACTTGTCAAAACAGTTTCACAGAACAGAGGGAATGTGTACTGCAGATACAGTAGAAGAGAAAGTTATGAATGTTAAAAAATGTTTAAAGAATAACAGATACCCACTGAAATTTATTGAGAAATATGAAAAACGTGTAGATAAAAAAATCCAGATGAACTACAGCAAATACAAAAAATATTTTTATTCAACTTAAATCCAAAGGTGACATCACAGGGTCAATCAATTTGAGATTAAAAAGTGCATTGACAAAAACTTATACTGCAGCTAAACTGATTGTCCTGTCCAAAACAACATGTTCTTTAACACAATCAAAGGTCGACAGGTATCTCTTTCATGTTACCATCAACTGTGTATATAAATTTACATGTATCTGCCAAAGCAATTACATTGGTAGAATAGATAGGAGGGTCTACGTCCGATTCAAAGAACATATTCTGAAAAGTTTAAGATCAAATGGATTAAAAGCATTCACCAGTGCCATCGCAAGACATCTCCTTGACACAGGACATGAAGTCGATACACTGAAGTCCTTCAAGGTAATTAACAAACAATCAGACTCCAACCTTTTGAAATTTGCCAAAGCGATCGCAATCAAACGTCTAAAACCAGATCTATATATCTAGAAAGAGACAGTAATAAATCTTTCTTTGCCCTGGTAACATTAAACTTTTTTATTTATTACGTCATCGATTATTTCAACTCTTTCTGAAGTATAAATTACATCATTATCATTTTTCTTCAATTCATAACTGACTGATTTCAATTCATATCTTTATTACTATTAATCTATTTTCAGTTACTTCATTACATAGTCATTTAATGTGTTTTTAATTCAATGAGTTCTAATCACTATTTCAATGTTCTGGGACTTTCCCTCCCAAACTTTATTTTATGACCTCATTAACTCTATCGGAATCTTCACTACACCATAATACATATATTCATCTTTCATCACTCTCGTATGTATAATTATGTCAATATCTGTAATAACGATTATTTTCAAATATTTTAGGTTGTAAGCAGCTAATGAGAACCTAATGAAATAAAATGAATTCGTATTATTCTGCAGCAATGTTCGTTCTTGCTCTGTTTAAGATAACAATTTAATAAAATTAGTTCGTATAACATCTAGAAGATAATGGATCATTGCAATTATTTTGAAAACATAACTCATACACATACATACCATTTACAGAGAAATCATTGCAAGGTTGAAGTCGATATTTTTATTGTATACGTAGGGAAACTATTAATAAATAATACAAATGATAATAAGATACTAAGTATAAAAATCTGAAAGTCATAGTAGTCATATTATCAATAACAACAATTATGTTGTTGATCTCAGTAACATAAAAATTTTGGAAGAAAAATAAAACAATACAAAAATCATGCAAAATTATGAGATAGAATAAGAAAAAGAATATAAATAAATCCAATAGAGAGTGAAAGATGTGTGAAGAAAATACATGAATCATATTAGTTAATCAATTTATTATTCAAAATAATTTTCCAATGGCCATTGAGGATCACGTAGTTCAATTAAACCTATAAGAAAACCATTGAATTTCATGATAGATTTATCATAAATATGTAAAATTGAATTCCAACTCCAAGTTAAACCGATACGATGTAGATGGATACAATGTGATGAAGATGTTGTATTTGAAAATTTTTCTGACTCTGAAATATTTTTATTGGGATCAAAAATGAGATCAGTTACGTTGTAATGAAGTACAGACCAAGGTATATTGTTTTTCAATTCAATTCTTTCTGGATTAAATATAGAAATATGACAATAACGATGATGATAACAATAAGAAGAATAAGAATAAACTAATATTTATAATTTTTTTGCTTAGATTATCTTATCTCTACTTTAAAATTAGTTATATTCATGGGAAAAATTTATTCACACAGGGCGATTTTAAAGTAAATACATAAACCTCTTATTGTGATACCTGAAAAAAAAGAACTGTACATAGGCGAGATTTCATTAACGGCAAGGAAGAAAGTGGTTTGACAGTACAGTGGTTTAATCGATTGGATTTTAACATTTCACTTGTAGGTTCGAATTCTACTCAACCTATTGCAATCTGGACAGTTGTATACTTTTAGTAGCCCTCATACAATCAAAATGTAACTATACTGAGACATTGAATTAAATTAGCTCTTAATGGCACTAAATACCAATAGTATGTTGTTAGTATTAATAAATTGTGTAAATGCAAAAACAATCGAAACGACTTTGGTAGCTAGGAATATTTTGTTAGACGTTATAATGACGATAGTATAATGTGGCTCAAATATCAAAATATGGGCTGTATAGATTCGTGAATTTGTTACTTAGAGAGACACTTTTTGATTTCCAGTACGTGGGTGGAATTTTCTTGCAGTGCAATAATATGCCGGTTATTCAAACTCCACTTAATTAGCTGAGAATTAGTGTCTGTAGGTATGGTAATTTATTTAAACCTTTGAAAAGCAAAGTACTTCAACTAGACTGGGAGATGCCTGTGTCCACATCTACTGTTTGTGCTGTGCTATTAGAAATAGTTAGAGAGGTTGTGTGTCTGGGTAGTTGTGAGTGTTGGTAGTGGAATGACAGATGAAGTCAATCTATGTATAATAAGTCAGAGCAGCTAATATCAATCTGTGTCACTTGGCATTGTCGTGATATTAATCTGTCAGCAAGAGATCGGGTTTACAACGCGTCACTGAGAGTACTTCAGTTCTATGCCTGTGAAACCTAGCCCCTCCGAATCGGGGCTATTCAATAACCTGCAGTGTTCGATCACCAGTCTCTCCAAGGGAATGCTGATATCCAATGGTAATAACATTTTAAAAATGCTGAGATTTGGTAATTATAAGTTCAAGAGTAGTGACAGTAATTTAATCAGTCATAATCTTAAAGTAAATAAATAGGTATAATCTATCAACACACTACTATAAACAATTTTCTACAGGCGTAGTTATTACCATTGACTTCAACTGGCAAGTGACTTGACTAAAAGATATTTTTGGTAATGACCACATTGTTTTTGCTAAAATCTACAATAGATTGTTTAACTTTTAAACAAAAGTAGACAGGAATTCTAGATTAGTCACAAAATTTGTATAAATGACACATATAAAAGGAGACGAATAAGTTATTAGAAACTATAAGCCAGCAGAAACTAGCGAGTCTTAGACTTCGTGGCAGCTCATTGCAATTTTGTATACAAAATACCACCAGTAACACAGAAAGACATTGTGAAATTGAAATGATGGGGAAGTCTAACGGTTAAGTCCTTCATTCACATATAGAATGAACAATATACAAAATCGATTTTATCAAATCATTTATAACGCGTAATCATGTCAGTTTTATGTCAATATTTTTTATATAAGTATGTTATTTTCTAGTGGAAAACCTATTCTACTGGGCAGCCATTTTATTGTATGATACCAGCTCGACCGGGAGCTTACGTCGATAATTCAATCTCGTGAATAACCACCATTCGACTATATTGTATCATTGAATTTCACCAATTGATAGGCACCTTATTGATTCACTTTCACAATCACAACCCTTATTCATTTAACAAATCTCATTTATAACAAATTGTAACCGACTGATAACTAGTAATCAGATTAGAGTTTTCAGTCTTTTTCTACCTACTTCGGGTTTGACTAGCACGCTTGTGATATTTAGATTTTATATCAAAATGACGTGACTGATGGTTTATTATACTAAAATTATCCTTAACCTTCGTGAACATCAAACTCAGCTAATGTGGTTAAGAATGAATCGGTCAGTCATCAGTGAAAATGATCTATTGAGCTTCAACACAAAACACTCAAAGAAATCATAAGAATTATATTTCAGAAAGTAAAGTAACATCGTCAAAAGTCAAATGTAAGACAAAAAACTAACCCTCATCAGCTGTCAGAAATGTGCGTTTAAAATTAATTTCACCATCATTTTTATCCGGGAAATGAAATGTATCCACAAACAGTTTTAAACCGATTTTATGGTCCAAACGTTGTTCAGATGGCAAAGATGTCTCCTTATTTAAAGTGTATGGAGTAATGGCTAGTTTGAATTGTGCTTTATCAGATATAAATGAATTACGACCAAAAAGAAATAACTCCATTAGTGAATCATTTGATTTTTGTTGCTCAAAATCGACTACTTTATCGGATTGTTCGAAACGTATACATAAACACGTTCCTGTGAATTTTTCGTAACCTGTTTCCAAGATTTGGACAGCCTATGAAATGAAACATTATACGTAATGAGCATGTGAAGAAAGTAAACCAGCTAGCATCATTAAGTTCAATCCCAACAAGCTAACAAAAATGATGTCCAAGGTTAATTTACAACAAGGACTGAATTTAGCTATAATTCAATAAAAATCAGGGAGTTATAAACAGTTGTTTTGTCCTAGGATGCTTTAAAAAGTCATATTGTTAGTAATACAAACAAGAAATAATTATTTGCGTAAATTGTTGAGTGCAACCTGTTTTTAGTAATTGTCCCTTGAGTAGTATGGTCCACGATCCTGGGTCGATGAGAGATTTGGCAGCAAACAAATTTCATTTTGAGGTTCCGCAAGTATAAATGTCTCTTCATTACAAAGGCAACCGGGAAGCATCAATCCCTACTCCAAACTTTCAGGAATGCCTATAGTTATTTTATTTACTATGAAACTCTCCTTCAGTTTCTAGTAATTCCTCTATTTCTACTGATATTCGTAATGGACTACCAGTGCTAACGACTAAGTCTCATGACCTTCTAAAACGGTACTCCAAACTACGAGGGGGCTTTTTAATGTTTGGAACCAATAAATAATAGAACATAGATCACCACCCATGATCACGTAATCTAGGACTTGAAAGGAAATGATGAGCAGGCTACTGGTGGCAAAAACTTGAAAAGTAAACACTTAGAGGACTTTTTTAAAAGACAGCAATACTCAACTACCATTGTGGGAATGAAAAATCCAGTTTACATTTATTCATCAGTCCATAAGGAATATAAGTCTCTAGAAGAATGCACGTTCTTACATGATAAAGCCCTAGAAAATAAATTAGTGATCCGATAAAGAAAACTAATTGAATTAGTGGGATAAAAACTGGAAAAACTATCAACTAATCATTGGATGACTTACGGAAAAACTAAATTTCGTCATGTCGTTATCAGTCAATGATTTGTTTAGTTCACGGCAAGTTGGAAATATCTATTGAACAAGATAACAGTAAGCACCACATAAATGACAATTAAATCCTTGTCAGTAATTGAGCGAGTCATTCATACAAACGATATGTCGATTAGAAAATGTATTATCAAATATGAAATGAATTTAAACACTACTAACCACAACGAGCAAGTGTAAGTTATTATATATTTTGTTTGTTTCAAAGTAAATTTGACTGACGATGAGCAGTAAAAGATGTAAGCCACACAAATTAGTAAAATAACATCTGATAGTTCTTCAGGCCGATCGATACCATGGACGATCACTAGGACTCTTCTCTCCATAGGGTTATGATGAACCACAAAATGATAACTCAACACAAATATATTCCATACTACCTCGAAATATCGTAAACGAAGTGGTTTTTTGTCTTTATGAATTATTAATAAAAGGAAAGGCAAGTCTACTCGCTCACGAAAAAAACCTATAACAAAAATAGACAACAAAGAATCCCAACAAACTCATCAATCCTACTGCATTGGTTGGAAAATTGAAAAATATTTTGCTGAAAAATAAGCTTACATCTACATCTTATCAATAATATTTAACAAGAAAGTAAAATTAGTGTGTGTTTTCTGTAAGCAATACAAGTGAAACAGGATGCATCGAACGTGGATATTTAACTTGTGAATACGCAAATTTTTCAGCTGGATATCTGAACAAAGTAAATAATGACTTATCAAAATTATCAAGGTATGCAGTTCGATAGCAAATTAATAAAACAGGAAACGATCGAAATAAATCAATTCCGAGATATTCCGATCAGACAATAGGCAGGTGATCCATAATGAAGGTTCAAATGGAAACACCGAAAAACATATATGCATGTTTACTTCAAGTCACCGAAAACTCCAATGTGATAGTTATGACTTAATAAACGAAAAGCGACATGGTTTTTTGTTTACAAAGTGGTGATTGCAATAATTTTAATAAAATTAGCGGTTCTCTACAACTGATTTTATAGTTAGCTGATCTTAGAACACCATTGTTATACTTGTGATTGATATATTCAAATATCTTAACCTTTGTGATTATCTCACTACATACACTAAATAGATTACAGTAAATGTGGACAACATAATAATTCACCTACTTGTTGCCGACCCATTTGACTTCCGTACTGTAATATCATTTCATTTTGTGCCGTCGAAGGCTTTGGAGGTAATAAACCCTGACCAGAGCAACATGTTGTGCAAAATAAAATATCTGAATCATATTTTTCACATAAATCACAAGGTAATTGAATAACCGGTAGACTGGGAAGTGTAGGTTTATATAGCATTGTAACATTATCAATACTACTCAAACCCCGTAGACGACAAATTAATGGACTTAAATATGACCAGAATTTTGTGTTCATCTCTGCTAATAAGCTGAATGCTTTGATTGGATCACCAGCTGCTTCTGTCAAATCGCACTTTTCGAACACCCAACCAGGTGCAAATAAAGCCACTGATAATGGGCGGTCGGGTCTAGAAGCCTGTGGAACATAATTATAATCAATGATGAAAAAGTATTCAGTTATATTATGTCAAGAAAAGTGAATTTCGTAGTTTAAATACGTGTAATGGTGAAGTTTGGTTATAATAATAATATATTTTGAGATGAAAGTCAGGTTCTAACAATTTTTTACATTCAATCAAAATTATTTTTTGACGGTTGAATAAAGTAGACTCGTTGTGACAAGGTTATAAAAAGAACCCAAATAAATCCATAGTAAATGTTATTAAGGACCACTTATTTATCAATAATTATTCGAAATACAAATGAAGATAAACTCCAGTTTTACGTTAGAAATAACAAGGGGATCAAATAAGTGTTTGAATACATCTTTAAGTGCATAGTACTCTCTAAAATATTTTCTAAAATGTTAAAAATGACTACTAGTGCGTTTGATAAACGATGTAATGTTAAATATCTATACATAACTAGACTACCTTACAGAAAGGCAGAAGGTCGAGGTAGTTATTTATAAGCGGGATGGGTCGGTAATTTATGAATACTAAAGAAGGTTGAAGAATTACGAGCCAGTCAGTCATACAGAGAACAAAAAAACAGGGTATTTTTGCTTTAAGATGATAGGAAAATGAGTGGGACACACATATATAACAAGTATAAAATACCATTTTTATCTTAGATCAATTAAATATTATCAGACAAATTATAATACCTTGAATAGACATTTTATACATAACATTTTTAATTCCTCAATAAATGATCAAGTTGGTCGACTGATAGTTCTGACTTTTTAAATCTATTCACCTGATACTTAAAGATAGGTTTAGTGACTACTTTAATTGATCGTGCTTTATCAAGTCAATTGTTCCAACATAACGCATTTATTCACCAGAAACGTGATTTCTAACATCGTTTGTAATGTATCTCAATCTCTTCAACGTGTTTAAAATTAAGTTACAGCAGTTTTCACAACTGATTGATCACTGGGTGGTGATCAATGTCATGTGTGTCAACTACTTTTTAGTGCAGATCGAATGCTATCGACCAAGATGCAATGTGGTCGCTAGTCTAGGTGACTCGACATTGCATGCACTATGTTAAGATTAGATGGTGGTTAGAGGTAGTCAACAGGAAATCCGGGTTTCGTGCTACTTGGTACTCGTCAGCAAGGTGTACCTGTAATCTTGAGGGAACTGGTTCTCCCTGACGGGTTCGAGCCCGTGTCACACAGCTTCACAATCAGAGACGCTACCACTGGGCTATCCAGGCCGTGACCGACCTCCTGTAGGACTGAGATGTAATCACAATTGATTGGTCACTGGATAGCATTCGATCTGCACACATGACGTTGATCACCACCCAGTGATCAATCAATTGTGATTACATCTCAGTCCTACAGGAGGTTGGTCACGGCCTGGATAGCCCATTGATAACGTCTCTGACTGTGAAGCGAGGTGACACGGGCTCGAACCCATCAGGGAGAACCAGTTCCCTCAAGATTACAGGTACACCTTGCTGACGAGTGCCAGGAAGCACGAAACCCGGATTTCCTGTTGAATACCTCCAACCACCATCTAATTACAGCAGGTTTGTTCAATAAAATGCGTTGTATATTTTAAATGAGAGCTAATGCCAATTTTATTCTTATGACTAATTGTTTTAAATCTTATGATTGCGTTAGTTTAAAAGGATTTTAAATCTGTGGTATTAGGTTTAGGCTTTCTATGTTGAAACCACGAAACCAAAATTTCTTTTGTTTAAACATTAGGATTATAGTTCAGTTCATTACTAATAATATGTATAAAACTCCATTAACATTTTTAAAGTGGTACACTATTGATAAGCTAACAGCGCGAACTGACAATCTAAGTTCCTCAAGACAATTTAATTGGAAATAGGAAGGCATAGAAAGTAACTGACGTTAATATCTAAAACAACTTTCAGTGCTTCGACTGTACCGAAGCCACCGCCTCCAATACAACCACGACCAAAACAATCAATACCGACAAACACCTTTGTTGACATTGAAGAATTAACAGCACTAGTTGTTTGATTTAAAAAAGAGGAAAAAATAGAAAAAAAAGTAATTAGTCAGATCCAAAGCTAACAAAATGCTACGGATGAATAGAAAAAACACCCAAACTTTTTCATTTGTGTGAACTAGAAGTATGTACAGAATATTCAGTTTAATAAATATTCTACCATCGAACATTGGTCGACATACCACGTATTCGGGAAACTTCGAAGTCTACATGCTAATCGCACAGACTAGGTACTTGAGTGGTTAATTGGTTACAGCCCTTCCAACCTACTTGTCCTTTATCTCAGAACTTTACAACCAACTTTAACATTACTTAATCGGTTATTTAACAGTGACTAGCCAATACTTCAATGAGATTTATGATAAAGTACCATCAACCCAGCGTCTTCGGCTTTAACAACCCTGTTTGAGCAATAGGATAAGACAGGGAAGAGTTTTGAGTAGTTATTCGAATGCATGATAACATTTAATTAATCAACAGTCGGTTAGAATTTAAGACCTTCGCAAAATACTTATTAGGATAGGGGATTGTTGGGATTAATGGATTTTGTAGTTTTACACTACGGACTGACTTCAGTTAGACGATCACTAGAAATCAAGAAGTACTGAATAGCAGTTTGCATCCACAGCATTATCAAAGGTTGAATCCATAACATCTACAACGATATTTAGTTACACCAGTACTTTCAATCGATATGAATTTAACTATCAGTGTGAAGAACTAATACATGTTAAGTTAATTTCATTAAATGAGCTGTATTTACAATATTTCAGCAATACTTTATTCGTTATTTGTTAATCATATTGCTGTGGCCTCGAAATTCCTGTTATGAATGATCTATAATTTCGAAATGAAATATATATATATATATATTTGCTGAAAATGTTACTTACACCTCTTGTGATCGTCGTAACTTAACTGGATTCCAATTATAATTGAGAAATAAACCACTTCCGGACGCTTTCATATACGGCAAATTTTCTTCGGTCAATTCATTCTGAAAGCTTAAGTGGCCAGACCAAGTTAGTGCATCATACCTTAAATAAAGAACAATGCAAATCTGCAAGCAACAATGACATGATGCAAATTTTATTTAAAAGTTGTGACATTTAAGGAATTTTCATATAAATTCAATAACTAAATCTATGTTTTTGTAATTGACTCTCAACTTTATTTGATTTACAAAACCGAATTAAAGTGGAGTTGGGATTTGCAACCTATTGATTAAACGTTGAGCGCTTTAACTACTGACATGTATAATAAGAAGTAACTGTAAAAGTACAAACTACGCTGTCTTCAAACTTCAGCCGTTTCTTGATATATATGAACAGTGATTATTTACCGTGATTAGTAATCATGAACAAATTGTAGCACACTGAAGCAATGGGCAGCATCGTCGATGAACGAGGAGGTTCTGATGCAGACGTAAAGGTAAGGATTAGCAAAGTAAGGGCAGTATTCTTACAGTTGGACAACATATGGAACTCAAAACAACTGTCAAATAACATCAAGTCGACAATCATCAATAAGAACTTCAAGACAGTCCTACTGCACAGATCTGAAACTTGGAGAATTACCACAACCATCATCAAAAGACTACAAGTATTTATAAAAAACTGTTTACACAAGATACTTAATGTCCATTGGTCGAATACCATCAACAACAGCTTATCGTGGAAGAGAACAAATCAGCTTCCAGCTGAGGAAATTAGGAAAAGATGTTGGGGGTGGATAGAACATACATTGAGGAAATCACCAAACTGCATCACGAAGCAAGCGCTAACCTGGAATCCTGAAGGGAAACGGAAAAGAGGAAGACCGAAGTACACAGTGTGTTGGAAATCGGAATGAGACATCAAAAAGATGAATAGTAACTGGAAACGCTTGCCCAGGTCAGAGTTAGATGGAGAATGCTGGTGGGAGACCTTTGCTTCTCCTCGTGGGGTAACAGGCATAGTAATTATATGGAAGCAGAACATTCAAGAGAAAAATATGTAATTTTTGTGGATTATTTAGATGGGATGAGGTAGTAGCAAGAAAAAATTATCCTTTTTGATGTTCATTTCAACCATAAAACTATTATAACAAAAAATCTAGTTAGTTATTATAAGACTAAGATACGAACCAGATAACTTCAGAACCGAGGTTTCTAAGCATTCGTAGGAATTTCTTTATTCGATCACGAATTGTAGCAATTTCTTCCTAAAAGATAATAGTAATGAGTAGCAACAACCTAATAGATTTTACATACATTTATCTTGTAGTTTATAAATCACAAAATAAATCAGGAGAATAATCAAACTTGAACTAGGAGTTACTCATATATCAAGAAAACAAAGCGAAAATAAACTTTCCAGAAAAACAAAGGGAAGAAAAATAAACTCACAGGCTGAAATCATAGAATAGCTAACCATAGATGAGAAACAAGGCATTTGTACAACTGTGTTCCAACTTATCTGGACATATTTCTTCCACCAGACTACTATTTTTCTCCCCACTTGTAAACAGTAGTAAGCGCTTTAATTGACTGACTCGCGACGTCATTAACTAAATCAAGCAAGACGTTTAGAAATATACAGTTCGATGAACCAGAACATTAATGATACTGGTTATCTAGAAATACGATTGCACTTGTTGACATATTGGTGATTTAACAGTTGAATTCATGGGTCGTTTAAAGCTAGACTACCATGGAAAACGTGGAAGCATTGGACTGCCATTTCGTCGTATGGAACTCAGCAGTGCGTATTACCACGAAACGATACTGATTAGGTATCTGCATTTTCTTCCACTTGGGACTTCAGCATATTTAAATTTCGGAAAATGTAATTATAATTGTTTTACCCTGAGTCCACTTCAGCTTGAGAATTACTGGTGGTGACTGACAGTTAATCTATGATATTCCATAACACTGAGAGCAAATGTATGTATGTGGGAATTTTTGATACCTCAGTCATATGAAAACTTAAACCCCGTTGTGTTTGTACCTACGTTAATCCTACCATGGTCATACTAACTTTAATTTGATATCCAGAGTGGTATGATTTATGTTGCTTTTTCCCTTACTATCTTTGATTTTCTTGTGTTCAGACACTTATAGTTTGATCTTGACTTCTTATAAAGATATTTCAAGTTAATATGCGATCGGACTGCTTGCAGTTCTGATAAGTTGTCTTCGCACAATACTATCTGAGATCTACTTGCTGAAAAAATCGGACGCCATATTCATATGGATGCTTTCTCCAAAGTTAAGTTCGGTTCGTACTATTCCTTAAGTATTAGTCAACATTTTCTCGATAAATTCCACTTTCAATTACAATAGTATTTTAATAATGCTGAATATTTGGATCACATTAAACGGAAATTAATTCACTGACCTGTCTTTTAAGCAAACAAGGTAGTGTAAGAAAAACCTTACCTAATTATAAATAGCGTGTTAAAACCTTATACTCGCATACTATAAACAGATTTATAGAGATATTGGCCACGTGATCAGGGTTAAAAATTAGATGTATTAACATAAATACAGTTCGATCAAACAAAAACTCACATTGGTCTAAATTGCTTTAATTCATGTGAGTACAGTTAAAGGGAATCAACGTGAGGAATACTTAAGGAGTGAAAATGACAATACCGATTGGTAGTGAGAAACCAAAAACCAAAAATGAATATCGTGAATTTCTATATATAGAAAGATAAAATTATGAAAACTAGAAGATTAATTGCGTGCAGTAAATTATATAAATGTTTACATACCCAGGGTAGAGAAATTTCAAAGTTAATAAACCAACCCTCAAACCCAACAACTCGTCTTATTTGATCCAAACGTATGGCAAAATCCTTATAGTTTGATATTTTATTGACATCACGATAATGTTCCGAGGAACCCATAAAAATGAATTTGAATCCATCACACTCCACTGATTCCATAATTACAGTACCATAGACACTGACACCCTGTCTTAAAAATAACCAGAAAAAGATTTATAAATGTTCAGAATAACTAACCGACCATTAAGAATTTAATCCATTGAGAAAGAATTATAGCAACCATGTACATAACTACATGCTACATAGTCGATAAACGATAAGCTTTACAGCTTGGAGAGAACAGGTGTGGCAGATCTATAATAGTATTCAAGTAAAATTAGGCGTAGCATCCATTCAACTGTACTTACTATAAGAATGGATATACATAGCCACCAAAAACTGTAACCCGATTCTTGCCAGTCAAGTTTAAATATCAAAGTGTCATAGGTTTACAGTCTTTTATGTAAACATGAGTTTAAAATTGCAAAACTAGTTGTCCAGTCGTCGTTTAATCTTATCACCAGAAAAGTAATATTCATGAGAATCATCATAAATAGGTATTAGCATCTGCCAAAAATAGAGTTTTTATCAATGATGTTTTAACCGCGAACATTGTGTTTAGTTCATCCCGACCGTTGTTGCTACCTTGATGTGGTGGTCGGGCTTGCCTATCGTGATGAACCAATCGAGCTACACTGGCTGAAACAATAGTTCCTCAAAGTCCTACCATGCCAGACAGGTCGGTTGAAGAACGGTAAGACCAAAAGCAGCAAACCCAAGGTCCTGAGGCGAAGTCGTACTGCTGACTGTACAGAGGTGTGACAGCAGTAAGGTGTTTCCTTTAGCATAACAGCAATGCTACCTTCCCACAAGCAGAGGTGGGGTTAGAAAAGGTCAACCCTAAAAATGCACACCTCGCCTTATCCCATGGATATCCGTCTCCGGCAGTAAGGTCTCAACAAGCACGGAGCTAACACGAAAATTATTCACAAAAAGGTCGTGTGTGACCGACCTCGAGCAGTTGTCCCTTGGGCACTGTGCTCACGCTCTCATGTCACTAAGATTACCTCTAACCCAATTTCATTTTCAGGTACCTCCAGAAGAACCCTTCCACAATGTGGGAAACGGGGAAGTGATAACCGCCTTCATAACTCTAACAAAACTTAAGACCATTGTATTCATAATCAACCTCCCTCTTTAATTCCTATTATTCCTCCTACATAGACTTTCAACTCTAAACTCCTACTTTTGGCTTCCTCCTCAAGTGTCACCATAGCCAACGATTCTAGTGCGCGAAACACTGTTCCAGGTCTACTGAAACCTCGCTCCAAACTACACATTGGAGACTTTAACGTACGCACCGCATGTCGAATTGGCCGGTAGAACTCCTTGGCTAAGACCCTAAAATCTCGTACCACTGACGTATGTTGTGTCTTCGAAACACGCATACAGGATCCTAGTGTAGTCATTCACCCGGCGAAGGCGAGATATCCATTTATCAATTAAGAAACGAGTATACTGCACAGCAGTTCGCTCTGTTCTGCTTTGCACCTGCGAAACATGGCTATTAAGAGTAGAAGATACTCGTAAGCTACTAATATTTGACCACAAATGCCCTAGAAATATTGCTCGCATATGCTGGGATCACCGGGTAAGTAAGTGAGGTTAGACGCAGGGTATTAGGGAATGATGGTAAATCAGTTGATGAGGTAGTGAATCTTCATCGACTGAGATGGTTGGGCCACGTGTTGCGTATGCCTGGACACCGATTATCACGACGTGCAATGCTAACCGGTGTTGGAAGAAAGTTAGGGGCGTCCAAACCAAAACGTGACATCAGTCCTTGGAGTTACTAACTTCTAGTCTGAGCTATGTTGGTAGATGCAGACTACTTGGTTGGGGTCCGCATGACTATCGTAACCAGTGGTTGGAGACTCTTGGTGACATGGCTCAGAATCGATCACAATTGCATCGTTGTATACAATTTTTGTCTTCCCTTAAACTGTGAGATTAAAACTGCTTTACATCTTTCCTTTTACCAACTAATTCTTTCTTCCTGTACTATATCTTTATATGCAATCTTTCTTTTATATATTATCACCACTGACTTAACCACTCCTATGAATCCGGTGTTCATCTTGCTGCGCTAATGCGGTATGACAACTTGGACCGATGTACAAATGTGCCTGGTCCTACATTATAGCTGACTGACTGACTGTTTAGTTTATGTTCGGAGAAACAATTCATATCAAGAGATTCTGTTTGTTTTTTTAAGTTCTACACTAATGAATAGGGCAGGTATTCTAAGCCGAATAAGAAGTCTTTACAATTATAAACATGGTTAATAAGTAACTGGCAAATACCGTTAATCTTGATATAAACACAGTAATTCAGCCTCGAGATAATGGATCATTTTCACATAGGTTATTATTAGTAAGTAATGTGACTAGATTACGGTGAATTTTCGGAACATTTTGCCGAAAAGTGCATATGTTATAAAATGTCAACAGGACCTTTCTCATGTTTTCGAAAATTGTGTAGTACCTAGGCTTTTTATAAATAATGCGAAAAATACACAAGAAACGGTTAAATAGACCGAATCCAAACATAAAAATTACTAGATAACTATGAGTTTAGTTTGCATCAGTGAAAGACACGTACTTAGTGACCTTACCATAATGGTTTCGGTACTATGGTCTTTTGCTAAAAATAAGTGGTAAGTTAACGTTTAAAATGGGTGCATCTTAAAAAGTATTCTAAAATAACTTACCTATGTGCTAGATTAATCCATGAGACTGGCGGTATAGTTATGAACTGATGACTGAAGTAAATAAATATGTCAACCAAGTGCCAATGAACGAATCGAAAAGCAGGAAAAACACAAGTGAAGTTGACTGTTCGATCAGAGGACAGATAACCGCCAGCCATATCATGACAGTATATAACTTTAGGTAATCCAGAGGACTTACGAATAAAGCCAAAGTCTATATTTGATTGCTAGTAAAGGAAAGGACAAATTACCATTTAAAAAGTCACTGAAATAGCTTAAAGGTATTGTAAGATTCGATGTAGACGGGAAGTCCCAGTGTACCAATTCCTGTATAGTGGAAATAGGCTTACTAATGTAGCTAGACTCGTCACACATAGCTGCTAAAAGAGATGAAACAACAAAATATTAATTTCTGAAGACAAGTGTGCACTGAAATCCTAAACTTTATATGATTATACAGAAAAAAAGTTTGAAATAAAGCATTCACCTCTTCATTTATGATCACCAATCCCTCAAAAGTTTTGCAGCAATATGATACCAGCAAGAGTTTAAAACACTAGTTTTATCACTAACGGAAGGACACAATACGTAACAAGAAACTGGATTATTCGGTGTTAACATGTTTTTTAATTCCTTTTTAATATCGTTCAGCATTTTTCTTGTGGTAGCACCTGGATAAATTAAAGGACTATAATAAACACACGAGCATTCATTGATCTCAAAAATCAAGTTTGCAGCCAATTTTGGATATGAGTAAGATATAAAGCATTTTATATGATAGTTATCTAAACCACAAACAATGATCGATGGGACTCTTACTTCTGTTTTTCGGCCAAAATGATTATCGAGGGATTTTTGTCCGTCAGCTGAGTTGTTAGGTCGAAAAGAAGATTCAGTTATTTCCAGAACCATGCAGTAAACGAAAGCTACATACACGTTGTCATAATTGACGATTGTGTATCGTTTAACCTCACGAAACTATTTGGTAAACTGCATTACAACTTCCAATTAGTTTGTCAGGATTAACGAACTGTTTTTTCTTGTAATCAGTGTCTGGGTAGTTGAAGAGTGTTCTAGGTTAGAGGCATGATTCTTGTCATACTCCGAGAAACTGAGAGGTACAACTTAGCAACACTTGGAGTAATCGTCTTTAGTATTTGCAGAACTAAAGTGATGATCAACCGTTTTTCCGAAAGATTTAGCGGAAGGTAGCACCATTATGACTTTCGGCAAGCTCCATAGCTTTCTGACTCAAACCCCGAATTCCACATGTTTTTGTGCAGGCTCAGTGAGACTACAATTTATGGGGGTGTCCACCTAATAACCGAGACCGAATGAGTGTTATAAACCAATGTGAGTAATAAGAATTATGATTAACAGTTGGTGGTTAATGTTCAGGATTTTCATCACGAAATGACATTAGCTATAATACCAAAACTCAATTTAACTAAGTGGATGAGTGAATTTCGTACTAAAATCTGAGAGGTTATCTTATGCCTAATTGATTTGTCATTAAATCATAGCCTCGCCATAAAATTTCTCCAAGGCCTCGAAAATATGGTTTTGCGTATTGAGCAACCCCTACATATATATATGCACATATGCATATACAAATACGTATTCGTGAGTCAACAGTGACTATAATAACTTTATACAGGAATATGTACATAATACCACGCGTTTAAGAGATTCAAGGACATAACAGACCGCGGAACAAGAAAATTATATTGTGGGCCCAATAAGGACTTATGAAGTATTCCTATATAGAAACGAAACGTCGGCAAAAGCCAATGGTGAAATCTCGTGACTTCAACAAAGCGAAAGTTTTGAACGAACCGGTTATTGACAATTCAGTATTCAGTAATAAGAATATGCGGTCTATCACCCTGTATTAATCCTTGCGGTTTTCGCCACTATAGAAATCCATTCTCGTTTTCAATATACCAACAGGTGCTGATATTGTGTGTTCTGGTAGAGAATTTTAGTGATTTGCTACTTGATGCGAGGAACAGAACTACATATGTAGGCGGTCTGATTTCACTTTTCGAACTTTCTCAGGATGTTCTCTCAAATGACGAGGTCCAGAGGGAATGAAAAGATAAAACATATTAACATTGAGGTCATCGTTGAGTATGCAGTAAGCCAATATTACATCAGCCCGTAATTTATGGGAGGATAACGGAAAGAAGTTAGGTTGTCTCACTCTGTCTACATAAGGTAGGCCACAGAGACCTTTTACCGCCTTGGTCCCTCGTCGTTGTGCTCGTTCCAGTATATCCGCCCTAAGCTTGAAGCAGGGACTCGCTGCTTGAACCCCACATTCTAAATGTGGTCTCACGAAAGTTGATTAAAATACTCTAAACATTTCTTCGTTCAACTACTTAAAAAGACCTACGAATTGCCCATAATACCCCTTAGCCTTTTGCAGCAGCAGACCTGTAGTTAATCATAGTTTTGAGGTGGCTGATTATTATGAATCCTAAAAATTTATAGTTCATTACTTTGGATAGCGCAGCTCCACCTATTGAGTATTGATATGAGTCATGATAGATATTTAGTAGCATTATCACATTATTGTTTGACTTGACTTCTGGTGACCGTCCACTTATCTGTAGTGTGGCGTCGAGTCACGTTTGACTATGATCACCACTACGAGAAGCTAACCGGTAAGATTCCTGTAAGCCAAATATCAGAAAGCAGTTAAAGGATGTAGTCGAGGTGTATTTGTTGGCGATCTCGTTGTATCGAAAGAATACCAAGATCGTACCAGGTTACGAGTGTGGTTACCGGCTTCAAGCAATGTCTCAAGCAACAGAAGAATGCTTGTTCTTAGTACAGTTAAACAAAAAAGTACAATACAATAATCCCTGGTACAGTTGGTTATACTAACAATCGTTTTCATTACACCAACCGCGTTCTCTTGATAAAAGTAGGTCACTGCATATCCATTCCGCCAATGAGTCGAGATCACTCTGTAGTGCTAGTCTCTCTGACATAACATGTATGGGTCCCCAAATCTTTATGTCATTGTCATTACTCATTATAGGTGTAGAAAATTTCTTGAGATTGTTGGATTTTCAAGGTTTACATCAAGAAATAGGCTTAGCTAGGCCACAAGTAAAATTCTGAAAGAGCTGGTTGGCGAATTTATCTAAGCAATGCTCATTTACGGCCTCAAAATCGAGAATCGATCCCGCAACACTTGTTCTCTTATGTGATCACACAACATGTAAGACACTGCATCAGAATCCAACGATTAGTGTCTAACTCCGACCGAATCACGATACTGTCCTACCATTATCCGTTGCCTAAGGTTGATAACAGTCCCACACTCAATATGGATTGAACTCCACCGGTGGTCTGGCTAAGATCAGCTTACAACGTAAACTTTGAAAAAACTCTCATTATCATTCCTTTAAAAACTCAACCCTAATGTTGTGCTATCTTATGGCACTTTTAATTCTTTGTCTGAGATACTGTCGCCCCTGGTGAGTTTAAAAGCATGGTATTTCGAATACGACATAATATGCACCGAGTTTCATGCTAACACGTTCTGTTAAAACTCAGGAGCCAGGTACATGGTGCTCATACTCCGTCTTGAACAGCGATAGCGTAACAAACAAACCAGAGATGCTATTCACCTTTTTAAACGCTGAATTGGGTGACACGAGGTTCAAATATGAAATTGAGAATTAATGAATTTGATCATCAAGCAATAAGTTAGCAATGATAATCAAGAAAATGCTTTTCAGTAAAGTTGTAGGATCCAAACTACGGTTTGGATGTTGAAGAATAGCCGACCGGGGATTTTTAGACACGCGCCCTTTCCCGTCGAAATCAGAACAAGTAATCGGGTAACTAGCGGTTCTATAATTCATAATAAAATTAATGTAAATCATTACCTAAACAAATATTATCACCCGGCTATTCAACCAATGATTGTTCAATCAATTAAATCTAAATTACAATAAATAAAGAAGTTGATAGAAGATGCAAGAAAATTACCAATCACCACAAATGAATGTTATTCTATCCTGTCTGGATAGATCACGTACAGATTCGCTCAAAAGGTAATAATTGGTCGCTCTATAACACAGAATGTTTTCAGTTCTGGAAGAGTGCTTCAATTCACAACCAAAATGCACAATTCCAGTCAACACAGGTCAAGCAATCAAAAGCAGGAACAAACCAAAATGGCTGCCACCCAAACTTAGTATAAAGTAAAACAACATAAGTGCAGTTCGGGAAGAAACTTGGGGAATTAGTGAAGGTGTGGTAAAAACGAAACTATGATAAAATACAAATATTAACAATTCAAATGTAGTCAAAAAGTTAACAATGTACAACTAAAAGAATCAATAGGAACAAAGTGTAAGTATATACATGGAGGGATTTTCACAAACACACAAGGCACTCAAAATGGATCTTACAAAAGTGACATTCAAAAAATAGCCCTCAAAAAGTAATTCCCATGGGACTAAGTGAACTTCATGAAAAATTCATGTTACTATGTCGCAACAACAAAAAGAGAAAAAGTGTAGTCTTAAATACTAGCAATCGGAAAATAAAGACCCTTAGAATTAATATCAATAAAATGTCCTTTAGGATAGTTTTCTCCATAAAACCTTACAGCATTTAGACAATAGTGTTAATCTATAAGGTTACAAAATACGACTTTCATGGATTATATTGATTTTAGAAACTTTTAAAAACATTCATGCGTATAAACACGAATCAGCCACTTCAAACTGAAAATATATGCTATCGCTGACTCTCACACAGTAACTGTCGTTTTCAGATTTTAGTGTAAGATTGTAGAATTATGGCCTACTATGATATTAGTACTGCTCTAATAATAGACCAAATCCTAAAATTGTAGATTTGTCATGATATAACTGCCTAATCTATAAGATCTTAAGTGGAAGTCACATCATGGTCTACACCAACTCACTGTATCGTAACAACTACCAATACATGATGAAGAACAAGGTTAGGCTAGAGGAAGAACAATATATTTAATATGAATAAAAGATATAAGGTAATATTCAGCAGGGATCACGCCTGTATGACCAAGCCATGCCACTCGATCAACTCCAGTAAATTCAATCCATTGCTCGCGCCTTGTCCATTGCTAGGTATTTCTCCGCGTTGAATATCTATTTTCTGAGTAGTCTTGTGTTCAGCTTTGAAGATTGTGTGGTTATGGTCCAATGCCACTACAAGATCTTATTAGAGTTAAGCCGTTATAAAGTAAAATTTATCTATAGGTATTTCATTTTTTCTAAACTACAAGTCAGTATACCTTTATATTTTGGAAAGTGGAGGTGTAACTGTAACAGCTTAGGTTGGTTAGGTAATAGCTGACCTCAAACAATTGAGTATATGTCAAAACAGTAGAGTTCAAGTACTAATCCACTTATTTTGTATAAGCATTGTATTTCCTATTATCTTATGTTGAATGTTGAGAGGTCTTGTCTGTCTGAACAGGTAATCCCACGCTCCACTGTGACTGCGCGAAGATCTAAATAAAAGACTGTTATGGGAGAACTGTAGGCATTTGGCTGATTAAAACTGTGTACTAATAATTTTACTGTGTTTTTGGATGTATATGTTTCACTTACTTATTGGACTTGTTTGTTTACATGATTATCTTCGGACATTTTGGTTTCTCTTCGTCTTTGGTTCGGTATTTGAGAGTTTTTGCTTCGGGAACCTACAAAATTGAAGAATGACATTTGGGTCGACTATTTGTAACTTGAGAATAAACTTTGTTATCTAAATTAAAATTTGGTTCTATTGTTAATTTGGGTTCGTAAATTGCAAATAGGTCGATATACCGTACTTCAATAAAGGGAACGAGCAAAAACTTGGACGTAACAAGGACCTATCCACTACTAGTCTTGCTTCTATCAATCGCATTACGGTCACTACAAAACTGAGGCACTCTTCCAGAATTGGAAACACTGTGTTATAAAGCAACCAAATATTATCTTTTGAGCGAATCTGTGCGTGGTCTATCCAGACAGGATATAATGGCATTTATCTGTTGTGATTGATTTGATTAATTGAACAATTATTGGTTGGATAGCTGGGTGGTCATATTTGTTTAGGTAACAACGTACATTTAAATTTATGATGAATTATAGTACCGTCATTTTACCTAATTACTTTGTTTTGGTTTCAACCGGGCAAGGGCGCGTATCTAACCTACCTAGACAGCTACTCTTCAGCCCAAACCATAGTTTGGATCTTACACCTATTATTAATATTACTTTTTTTACTAAGTCGTACAACTATACCTTCTGATTATTCTTAATCAAGTATTGGTATATACATATTTACACATAGTTTTTTATCTTGAAGTATTCGTGTTGCAGTAATCATTTTCCGTGCTGATTTCATTACTATGTAGGTCATATACCTCATATCAGACTCAATGTAAACCAAAAAGCTGAAGGATAGACACTGTTATGACTTCGAAATCTCGACTTCCGGAATTTGATCGTAGTGACCCTAAGTTTTGTTTTGCTCTACTAGAGCATCGTTTTATGAGACACAATATCAAATCTGGTTACACTATCATCACGGTGCAAAATTTGAAAGTGGCAACTTTTTCACGTCGTTCAGGACTTCCTCGACTAGTTCATTTAGAGGGTGTATTATACGGGGACTACCATCTTATCCTGTATATCGGAAACATTTACCCTGAAAAAAATTTTCGACGGACACTTTCCACTTAATATTATTTTTATTGCGAACTTAAGTCTTAAATAGATCTGAAATTTATTATATACTCGTAGTCTCACCCTTGTATTAACCAGGTAGATACTTGATAA